GGGACACGGAATTCCACCTAGTCGGCTGACACATTCCAAGGCTATCACAGCACACCCAACATCTACTCTCAGGAACCTTCAAGTATACGATCCACTGCTGTGAACTACCATCACCATATTTTATAATCGATCCCTTGCCCGCTGTCTCCCCAATCCCCCTCCCCCACACAACCAAGAGTATTTCCTCAATTTCTAATCAAGGTTCTGTAAGGTTAGTATTATTGCTAGAATATATCAGTGAAACCATCTGGGCCTAGAGGTTTTTGGTTTTGTGACAAATAATCATTTATAGATTCAATTTCTTTAATGGACATGGAGCTTTCTTGTGCCAGTCTTGTTCGTTGTCTTTCTTTTGCAGCATCTTTTGCAGTTTTAGGGTTGAGTAAATTATGACTTTCAAGCTGTTTGTACCTAGTTTTCTTGGGACACAGCAGGATCATTCATTAGATACTGTGCATAGCTGCTTTCATGCTATAATGGAAGAGTTAAGCAGATGTGATTCTGTGGCAGAGAAAGCTCAAAATATTTATTATCTGGCTCTTTACAGAAAAAGGTTGCCAATTCTTGACTCATTTCATCTAAATTCTCAAATTTATTTGCAAAAGTTGTTCATAATTTTCATTTTCTTTTAAATTTGTGGTAACATCTCCATTTTCATTCCTATTAGTAGGTTTTCTTTCTTAATTAGTCTTCCTGAGTCACTAATTTATCTTTTTGCTTGGTTAAAATTTTCTTTGATTTCTATTTTATTAATTCCTGCTCTTATAGTTAGTAATTCCTTCCTTCCCTTGAGTTTATTTTGCTGTTCTTTTTCTAATTCCTTAAAATGTAAGCTGATTTTTCCATCTTTTTTATTTTCTAAAATTTACATCACAGAGCTATAAATTTCTAAACCCCATGGTTATGTCATCAATTCACTATCTTAAGTTCAAAATACCTTCTCAGATTCATTACCTTCATCTAAGAACATTTTCTGATTTCTATTATGATCACTTTCTTAGGCTATGCATTATTCAAAAATGTATTCCTTAATTTCTAAACATTTGTAGATTTTGTTACTTTTCTGTTATTGATTCCTATTTAATTCCAATGGATCCCAAAGTATAATCTATGACTCCAAATACAAACCCATTGAGAGCTGGGGTGTCAATGCTGCCTTGAAAATGAACTAAGTTAAGCCATCTATACAGACTTCCATATGACTACAAAATTAGACAAGTTGTTAAATAACTACCACAAAACACTTAAAATCTATTCTCTTAGCAATTTTCAAGTACACATCAAGACAATGCGATATTAAAGTATTACATTTGATCTTAGCCAAAAGGCCAAGAAGTGATATGTGGTATTAAAGTATTAATCACACAGCCCCAAGTCAGACCTTTAATTCTGTCATTTAATTTTTGACAAAGACATAGAGGAAGGAAAAATCTTTTCAGCAAACATGTTGAAATGGCTGGATATCTACATTAAAAAAGGAACTTGAACTTTACCTCATGCCATACATAAAAATTAATATGAAGTGGATCATAGACTGAAATGTAAAAGGAATAGAAGAATGAAAATTAAAAATGGTAGAATCTATGTGGAAGTATATGGGTTGTTCACCATAGAAACCTGAGAAGGAACTTTAAGCTTTCTTGTGTCTTTGGATAATATAGGTGAACAATCTTGGCTTTTACACTCTTAAAATTTAGCCATTAAGAAATTCAGCACTGAACAATTGGCATTTGATTTACAGCAAATTTATTAGCAACAGGTAGCAAAGATATGTTAATTGGAAGAGAAGTTTAATAAAGTGCTTTACAAATATGTGGTGTTATATATGATGGATGTGGAGTAGTTCTTCAGAAAATGACGACTGCATTTGACGTGAACCTTGTCACTTCCCCAGGCTTTCTGAACCACCCAGTCCCATCTGGCAATAGTTTTTCTCCTTCAAAGTTTCTTTCTACCACGTGGGGTCATTTCATTTTCAGCATCAATGAAAAAGAAACTATGCTCCATTGCACATCAGAGCAACCAATGGTGAAAAAAGTTATCATTTAAGAAAACTGGAAACTATCTCCATAATTAAATGGTTATGGGAAACCCTCATAATGTTCAGAGGCTATGACAATTTAAGCAAAATAGAGGAAAACATTAACTAACTTCTCTAAACCATCAAAATGGCTTGGATTTGGTCCCAATTTTGATTGAAGACCAGCCAAACCAATTTATCCAGTGGAAACTTAAAACAAAATACATAATTATTAATATTTATTACACTCCCAGCACAGCAGCTAAGAAAAAAGGGTAGCATTAACGAGCATTTCTGTAGGTTACAGAGGCGTCACCAAAGCAGGTTTCAAATCCTAGGAAACAAACCAGGGCACAACTGACAACATTACAAAGACAAGGGTGCTCCAAGAGCAAAGATGTCAGGCATTTTCTGTCTTTTGCTTATCAGAAGACTCAGAAAACATTTGCCTAATAAGATTTAAATAGTCCCCAAGTGAATCAACAGCTAATTATGTCTACCTCTGGTAAAAGCTGTGTTAAGTGAAATGGACAAACCATAGAGTAATGTAAATTCCTAAAAAAGAGACAGGGAAGTGAAATGTTTCTACAGCTCCCAAGGAAAGCAAATCAATCATTTTTAAATTAATCACAAAGAAACACCGAGGCCAAATAGTTTAATAATAGAGAAAAGAAAAAGAATAAGCCTGCCCCCTTTCTTCATTTTATGAATTTAATAAAACCTTAATGTCAAACCCAAACAAAATCAATATAAGGGAAATTACAGATCAATCTCACTCTTGATAATAAATATAAAATGCACCAAATCAAATACTGCCAAACTAAATATAATTAAAAGCTTTGTCTCATGAACACATGGTTGGTTTAACATGAGAGAAATTATTAATTTACTAAAGACTGAAGGAGAAAACGACATGATTATCTCAACAACATAATGCAGTAAAAGCAATAAATAAGATCGAACAATTCATGATCAAAGTGCTAGCAAGTCAGATATAGAACATTCTGCAATGTAGAGAGTTCACAAGAAACCTTTGGAAAATATCATGATACTTCAATGGTGAAACATTAAAGAACACAGACACACAACACAGATAAACTTACAAGGAAGAAATACAATGGCATTATTGTATTATTTACATCAACTGTCATTAAAAAAACCCATTTATAGATTTATAGACTAGTAGATTTTAAAACAGTATAGAAAATGTTTTCTATGATAGGTCACTTACACAAATGTCTGCATTTGTACACACCAGTAATAATTTTAGAAAAGGCATCATTTTTTTAAGTTACCATTTATAAGAAATTTAATTAACAAATGCAGTTATCTTAAAAAGCCCATCGAGTTTTTCCACAGAACTCAAAAAGCTGGTTTTAAGATTAGTAAAGGAAAGAAGTGGCCAAGAATAGTCATGGAACTGCTACAGAAGAAACACTGTTGGATGAGTGGAGGCCTGGGAAACTTCACTTACTAGAGAATAAAAATATAAAGTTGATATGAAGACACAGACGTGACAATGGAATAAAGGACCCACACAGACGAAAAACCTGACAGAGCACCAGGGTGGCATCGCAGCTCAATGGGGAAAAGATGAATTACTCAAAAAACTCTATCTCTGCCTAACACCACACACAAAACTCCAGACGTATCAAGAATTCAAATGTGAAAATCAATACATTTAAGCTCTTAAAAGAAAATACATGCAAGTATATAAGTACCCTCAGAGTTGGGAAGAATTTCTAAAAAAGAACACATTGAAAAAGTACTAACCATGGACAAAAGCGTAAATGTTGAAATTAAGCCCTTTGTTCACTGAAAGATACCATTAGGAGGTTCAAAAGATAAGCCAAAAATTGAGAAAATATTTGCAATATATATAGCTAACAAGTAATTAATATCTGGGATATTATATAAAGAAATCAATTAGAAAAAGACAACCCAATAGAAAAATGGATAAAGAAAAAGAAGGCATTTTATGTAACAGGCAAAATAAAAGGCTTGGAAGCATATGGAAAGACACTCAAGCTCTGTGATAATGTGGGAATTAGAAATTAAAGGGATGAGGTAGCCAAGCATTGGCCAGGACATGAAGCAAGGGGAATTCTCATCCCACACTGGCACACAGGAACATAAACTGGCTATGGCTATTCTGGAAAGCATTTTGGCATTAGCAGAGCTAACCCCCTGCACCCTCCACGTCCCAGCAGCCCCGCAGTTAGGAATATACCCTACGAAAACTCTGGATATGATATAGACCAGAACACAGTCTCTTACTCATTGGGATCAAAATTAGCAACGAACTCTGAAGTGTATGATTAAAGATCATACCACTTCCAACATTAACATTTACAGAGCACATAGATATTCTTTTCATGGGCTTCTGACTCATTAATTGCCAAATTCACTACTACATATCAGGATCACCCTTTTGTGAACACATCTGGCGGTCAGTTTCGGATGAGGCATGAGCAGCTCTTAGCTCACACCGACAAGTATATGTACCTTAATTACCAAAGACTACACCAAGTATTTGTAAAATGAAATCCTTTCTGAAGATTATTTCAATTTAATCAGGATTAAAAGGAAAGAAAACTTTTATTCTTATTATCTTTGAGTGAAGTAACTTGAGTTTTAATATCTTAATCAGAAAATGTACAGAAGGAAACAATAACATCGAGAGAGGCTGATGTCCTGCAGCCTTCCTCAATCACAACCCGTTTTCAAGAGCCCCTAATCTACTCAACAGCCGGCCTTCCCTCAAGGGTCTCAGTCAGTCTGAGAAAACTCACACTAGAAATAAACAATATGCCACTAAAACCAAAACAATGCAGGTATTAGCAGCCACACAAAAAGTCAGCCTCTACCGGATGAGTCACTTCTAGAACGATGAAAGGCAAAGTCTTTCAAGTGTTTTCTATTCAAGCTGGAAAATATATAAAGGAAGGGAATCATTTAGAGAGCAGGCTGACTGCGGAATTTTTCATTTCACACATACTTGTTTGACTAGAAGCAAACAGCGAACTAAGCATGGCAAAGATGAGTCTCTCCTCCTACATATTAATACTAACTTTCTCTTTGTTTTCTCAAGGCATTTTATTTTCAGCTTCCAAGTCCATAAGGAATTTAGAAGACGACATGGTATTTAATACATTTAGGATGGGAAAGGCCTTACAGAAGGAAGACACTGCTGAAAGATCGGTCGTTGCTCCTTCTCTGGAACAATATAAAAACGATGAGAATGGTTTCATGAACGATGAGGACAACAAAAATTCTAAGGTAAGTGGCAGCATGACTTCTTTTATTGGAATGGAAACGATTTTGGTAAATCCTCTACTAACTAAAATTGGCACTTGTGTTTATTTTATAAACAAGAATATATACAGTCATACTATGCATTAGGACAACTAATGAAATTTCATACATACTGGATAGCTCTCCCATCCTAAAGAACACTTAGCCAAAGGTGTTTTATTTGCAATAAACTTTTATCTAAGGTATTTTTAAAGAGTCAGAAGCAGAACAGAGTGTCTAAACTGGTCAATAAGGATGTCACACTGTATTACACCTTCATTCCGAGGAAGACAGTTAAGACATGTCAACTTTCTCTTTGCAGAACACAGGCTCCAAACATAATTTCATAAACCATGGTCTGCCGCTGAATCTGGCTCTCAAGCCTTATCTTGCACTGAAAGGATCTGTAGCTTTTCCGGCTGAGAATGGGGTGCAGAATATTGAATCAATACAAGAAAAGAGAGAAATTGGGGATGAAGAAAACTCAGCTAAATTTCCGATAGGAAGGAGAGATTTTGACAGTGAGTAATCTTTTAAAACCTCAATTCTTATATCTCAATACCATAAAAGAACTTTGAGTGTAAATGAGTTTTGATCTAATCATAAAGAAATCAAATAAGACCATGGTTCAATTCTAGTTGATACTAAGTGGCCCCTGTCAAAAATATGGGCTAGCAAAGCATCCAGTTATTGTAATTTTGGTTACTCGGTAGTTATAACAGCCATTTTTTCCCCTTAGTTTTGTATGGTAATTATAATCCTTTAAACAATTTATTCTGTTTCCTCAGTGCTCAGGTGTATGCTGGGCAGAGTCTACCGACCTTGCTGGCAAGTCTGATACCTGCTGGTCCACATCATCTTCTCAGAAGAAACAAAACCATTTCATTGCCAATGAGGAGAAAAGCCCTTCGTGTTATTGTAATTTGTGTTATTATTTTAAACATCTCCCTTAAAAGAAAGCTGTGTTAAGATGTACTCGTAATCCAAATGATAAGCTTTTTCTGTGCATTAAACTTTGAAAATTCTGCATAATGATGACTAAGTGGTATTTTTGAACAACACATGAATCTTACATACACATCACAGCAAAGTAACAAAGAATCGCTATTACACCTTGATCTTTTAGAAGTTAAGTATACAATTTTGGTGAATGGTTTCATAAATGTGTCAATCTAAAGCACATAAATGATAAAATCATAGCATAAAAAACTGAGTTAACTTTGTCTGCCCAGTAATCAACTTGGTGTTGGCAGCACACTTACTGCCTTTCGCTGCTCTGGCTGGTCTACCATCCAGCTCCTTTTGCAAACTGTTTGATATTTTGGGTATCTTAACATTTTTCTGTTGAGGTGGTTCATGTCCATTATCACAGAGAATATTTTCACCATCCAAATCCATCTGTTTCCTTTTTGAGCTTTTATTTCCTGTCTGACTCTTTGATTTTCTTGATACTTTGTCATTTTTACTTCTGTCCAGATGAACATTTCCAGAATGTGTTCCAATTGTTGGTCTTTCAACAGACCAATCTACACCCTCTGTTATGCAAGATAAAGAGGGGAAGGAATCATATTTACACCTAGTATTGTTACTCATGAGAATTTTAAAACTTTAGAAGAGAGGAAAAAGGGACCAAAAATGATCATACGATATATATGTACCAATTCCTCAAAATGAGTGTAAATTTTATGTATTGTAAACATATACCAATAAAACAGCTAAATATTTGAAAATCTATGCTTTGTAATAAAATGCTAACTAGTTAAATGATTAACACATACAGTTACATTATCAATTAGTTTTCCTTTTACCATATTACCTCTCATTCTTACCAATGAATATTTGTTTTAATATAGGATATTAATCGTTATATAATTGCTATCAATTATTTCTTAAATTCACTTAGTTAAATCAAACTGTTTCTTATTCCTATCCATAAGTTTGTACTTAGATTTAACATCTTAAACCCAGTTCTTAAAAAATGTAAGACTTTGCATTTGATAAAGTATTAAGTTAAAATCAATTGGTGGACTAGAATGAAGGTTAATTACCAGAAAGGTCATTTTCCATGTGAAGAACATATGAAGGCTTTGATTCGGAGTTAAAATTGTTCCATTTATCTTTGCTTATCATGCAGTCATCTTTATACGTGCAAGAAAATTGGGATCTAATTAAGGTTTGCTTCATCTGATAACAGAAAGAGAAATATGCAATTTATACTTTATTTTTTCACTTACACACACTCTATAGTAATCAAAGTATCATCAAAAACTCCCTTACAAATTCCATTTCCCACTGAGAACTGCTTGCCTTTTACGTTTTATAGCTCACAAACTCATTCACTGCTATGGATAGTGTTTTTGTTCTTTTCAGCAATATCAGTTCTCTGTATATTTCTGATATATTTTGTAACAGTTATAAAACATGAATTTTAGACTCTTCAAAGACTATCATTATTCACTTCTATGTATGGGTTGCTTTAGGAGTGAGTTTTATTATAAGCAAGATCATAACACACATGATATACTGAACCATAGAAAAATACAAGTTCTTCATTTAAGAAATACACAGAGTACAACTCTTTTGGGAAAAAAAAAACAGCACAAGAATTCAAGAACTAGGTCAAAATAAATAGAAACAGAAAACTAGCAAAGAAATAAAAAGCAAGAGAAAACAATAGTATTGAGAAGACATTATTTCTTGATTAAAACTTGAATATTTAGAAAAGAAGAAAGATAATTCTAATCTATCATTTTAGGAAGATTCCACCAAGTGTTTTAATGGTCAAAAACTCCAAATATACTCTTGCATTTATCTTCTGACATAAAGTAGGAAGCCTAATGTTCTTCTGAAACAGAAGAACACCAAAAAGATGAAGTTAAAAATTTTAAGAACTAAGAATTTGCCAGGCATGATGGCACACATCTCAGCACTCGGGAGGCTGAGGCAGGAGGATCGCCACAACTCTGAGGCCAGCCTGGGCTACCTAGTGAGTTCAAGGCCAGCCTGAACCACATAGTAAGATCTTGTCTCAAAACATCAAAAACAAACAAACAAGAAAGGCAGAAGAATTTAATTTTAAATTTAACAATGAAAAAGAAAAGCAAAACAATAGTTTCAGAAATATACTGGGCAAACGTAATAACCACTGAGTTGCTTTATGGGTGGAATTAATTCCAGAATAAACTAGCCTGTACAGATAATGCAAATTTCAACAATTATACTGGTCTGTAACCATTCAGTTATCCTGGGGAGATTTCTCCAGCTAATTAGAAGTCACCGGAGATCCTCTAACACTTCAAAGTTAACGACACTATGCTGAGTGCTATTTGGAGTATTTATTGTTGACAAAACAAATGACTGTTACATATTACTAGCAACTGTTCTTATTCTGTTCAGTGATCGCATATTAGGTCATGTAGTCGAAGAGATCAGTGCATTAAGCATCCACTCCGATGTTTGCAAAGAAAACGGCAGTGAAATGCCTGACTTGATTTATAAGGGAACAGAGCAGTGTCTTGTACGGCTGTCATGAAAGCAAGTTTTGTTGGGATGCTACACTTTCTATCTCGTTGCTGGGGTCTGTGGGAGACGGACTAAAACTGTCTCACACGCTCCTGTGAAGCATGAGACAACTGGAGTTTGTTGTTTTCTTCCACGTTACCACAAAAGTACACAAAACTGCATAAAAGCATAAAAGTGTACAAGATCAAAAAGTATTTTTTGAAAAAAGTGGAACAGAGTAGGCTGTTGTTAATGAGACTGTAGCTCACTACAACCCAGTGAGTTCTTAGGACCACAACACCCACACATAATTTCTTCCTATGATATAACTGAAAGTTTTAGGTAGCTCTTTCTGGACTTTATCCTATACACACAGAATCAGAGCAATTTATAAAGCTATTAAAAGAAATTTTATTAATCAAATAAACTCAATTCTATTACATCGTATCATTGCTGTAGCAACCTTATTTATGAACCTTTATTTCCATCATGGACATCACCCCTTTACATATCTCTTTCACTTTGCTGGTGACGGTTTATAGAGAAACATAAACTTACAGCTCATAAAGAATTCCGAAGGGTACAGTAAGACTACACAGTCAGAAAGACACTAAGTGCCCGGCCTGGATCGCTCCCACAGCACCCAGGAGGGACGGCACTCGCAGTGACTCCACCCACTCCACGATCTTCGTCACACCACCTATGATGCACTCCACTTAAACATACAGAACGTACACTACTCAGTACAGAGAACTCCTTTGCTCGGTCTCACATCTAGCATGAACAGTTTCTTTAGAAAGCTTTGTGATTTTTTATTAATTTTAATACAATCTAAGTAAAAACCTTTGTTTTCCATACACAGTCACAAAATAAGGGCCTCAGTTCTCCTTAGAGCTTGATTTCCTTGCTTCAGGCCTCCTGTAGAGAAATTCTAGAACCCTTAATGACCACAGGACAATTTCAGAAAACTAAAATTATAAGGCAATAGATTCCTAATGGCTGAGACATGGAAGGAAAATAACTACTTTATTTACCATGAAAAAAATATTATTTATAAACATATCAAAATGAGAAGGACAATCATGATCCATGGTGATCTTGGAATAGTTATTTCCAGAAGAACTGAGGGGAGCTCTATTATTTTTTAATAAAAGATTATATATGGGTTTTCTTTCCTCTGCCCTGTACAAAAAAGTTCTTTTAATCAATTACTACCTTTTGAGTTCCAACTATGTGTACACAAGAGATGACTAGCGTGGTTCTTATAGTTACAAAGACATTCTATTTATAAAATTTGCTGTTGACACACAGCTGGAAGGAATAACAAATAAATTGTATAACAGAATCAAGATTGAAAAGATTTCAGAAGTCTGGAACCATAAGTAGAAAATAATAAGATGGAAATGAATGAGAATAAACAAAGACCTATATTTAGGTTCAAAAATATCAATTACGGATGTACAGGATGAGGAAGACCTGACTTAAAAAAAAACATATGAAAGGACCTGGAAATCTTGATCATGAACTTGACTGGGGCCAACAGGGTGATGTCCAGCTAACAAAGCAGCACAGAAACACAAGAGGTTGTAATGGGAAAAGCAACAGATATTCATAAAAAGATCCAATCCTCTAGTATTGGCCCTGTGACTATAATCTGGATAATCTTGGATAAACTGCATATGTCTCATTTATCTACACATAAATGGAACATTTACCTTGAAAAATTGTCAGAACTACATGAAGTGAAAAAATATGAGCAGTCTATGTAAATTCTAAAGGTCTAAAATAGACACTGGGTAGTTATAATAACAAATATGAAGCCAATATTCCTATAAGATCTGTTGAATTAGAGCTCTCAGGACCAGGCCAATTCTAAAATGATCCTACTTATAATCAGCTTCTTCATTTTTTTTTTTTTTTTAATGCAAGCTCTGTTAAGCTATATTTACAACATAAAAGGGACTGCTTTTTCTTTGTTCATAAAAGTTGAATTTTTCTGCACAAGATTAGTGGCTACATAGAATTGAGATTGCTTCCTGTTGCAAATCTTCCAAATCTCTGTGTATTTATTTGATTTGGAATCGCAAATAAGCAAAACAATTCCCTCCTGAAAGTGCTTTTGAAGTACTAAACAACTAAGAATAATGTCCAGATTCATACATGGCTGTTAAAATTATTTTATGTTCAAGTCACATGAGAAAAACGGATTGAAAGTTTTCCTTTGTAGAGTGATTTTTCCCCCCTTTGGAAAGATTTCTATCCACAGTAAAACTGCAATGAACTTCAAACTTGCCAAGAATTAGAAAAGTCTTTTTGCCACAAGCTTTTTTAAAATTGAAATTATTAGTAGGTTCCCAGTTTGAGGAAAATAGTACTTCACAGAGGAAAGCCTGACTCCAGTTAAATTAAAATGAAAGAGTCAAAACACTGAAAAGTCACGGACATCTGACTTAGCTGTATTAACAAGAAAATGAAAACTCAGCCTCCGCTACACCAACGTATTAACAATTTTGAAAGAAGTCATAACTAAAAATACATGCTTTACATTTATCTTTTTATGCTTACAGGATCACTGTTATAGTTTGGGCCCAAATGTCCCCAAAGCCTCATGTGGTCACAGGGCTTTCTCAGAGGCGGGTGAATCTAGAGTGTGTGATGCTGGGATTAAGGGCGTATGATTCCTAAACCAGTAGGCTGACTCATTTGGCACCGCCCTAATCCCGGCAGTCTGAATGAAAATACAAGCGGCAGAAAGACGCTGGTAAAGCTCCCTGTTGCTTCGCTACTGTCTGCCCGCCATGAACTGCTGCCCCCTGCCACCCTGCCTTGGAGCAGCCTGATTATGGACTCAAACCTCTACGAACTGTGAGCCAAATAAACCTTTCCTCCTTTAACTTTGGGTGTCGGGTACTTTGTCTCGGCCACGGGGGAAAAGTAACTAAAACAATCACCCACAGGGTGAGGCACCCAGGAGGTGCAGACTTGCTCGCTGGGAGAACACAAGCCCCTTTCCAGACCCTGCTCCAGGTTCCGGGACGTCAGGGCCTCTGCTGCTCCTCCCTCAGCTCTAGCTCCCGCTGTCTGTTCCTGGTGAGGGGAAGGAGCACTGGCTACACAGGGCTCTGGATGAGGTAGCCCTCAAAGTGTGAAACGAAGCTAGCAGTGAGGGGTATAGGAGTGAGCCAAGGTTAGTGGCATCTACATACCCGAGGTGATCAAAACATGTGGGGAATGCTTAAATTGTTTAAAAATGATTACAGTAAGAGACCTCTTGCCATTAATCCCCCTCAAAATACTCCCTAGTTTCTAACATACTCATCATTCTTGCCACTTTCTAAAAATCCTCTTTCACGAGTGTCTTTACGAGGTGTGATAAAAAACAGAGAACGCTGCTGCCAACTGCCATCCACAGAAGGGCAGCTCATAAAAACACTGCAGTGCGTCGTCGTCTAGCTTACTCACCGGGTCTGGCACCGTGCGACTTCTGGCTCTTCCCAAGGTCAAAATGACCACGAGAGGTCAATGTTTTGAACTGATTTAGCACAGAGGCAGCCGTGGCAGCACAACTGAAGACTCTCAGGAAAGAACTTCCGGAGCTGCTGCAGGAAGCAGCAAGAACAATGGGACAAGTGCGTCTGAAGCAAGGAGGAGGACTGGGGCAGAGTGGTTAATGACAATGTGCATTTTACTGTGGTGAAGTTTAGGCAAACACTGACTGTACTTCTGGATCACATTCTGTATGTTGTTGCACCTCAGCTGCACAGAAGTGTGGGGAGCCTTGTCGGTGAAAGTCAGGTCTTTTGTCTGTTTCACGTACTGCAGAACCTAGCACAGAGCCTGGTATGCCAGAAGCACCTAATAATGTCGGGTGGATGAATTCATGAAAGCTCTAACAAGCATATGGAAGACGCTATGAGGGAAAAGGAAACGTGAGTGAGCAAAACCTGGGGGTAGACAGCGATGCAGAGTGAACCGCTCTGACAGAAGTCACCAAAGGACACGTATCCCTAGTGCTCGGACATCTGTCTCGCCTCCTCCTCAGGCAGTGTCCCCTGGGCCTTTCACCAGAAAGCCCGGCGAGAGCTCTGCCGCCTCTGGCTTCAAAGTCTGAGGGTTCGTCACACTGTGGCCCCTGACACCTCACCCCACTTCCCTTCCCACTGCAGAAAGCACCTTGAGAAAGGAGACAGCCATAGGTTTGGGGCAGGTCCCACTTCGCCAGTGGAGAGAGGACACAGGCGATCCTGTCCCCCACACTGAGGCTGCCTACCTCCCGCATGGCAACCACAAATAACTGCATTGAGGTCTCCTGAAGCTTCCACGTTTGCCAGCCTCTCAAGACACCCAGAATCTCTCTCTCCTTTTGTGTGAGTTCCCTTTTCCTGGCCAACACACTCAGCTTGTATCCAAACTAGCAAATACCAGGGAAGCAAAGAGCTGACAATGGACTGTTCATCTCAGAGGGACTTCATCCTCTCCAGATTTCAGTTTATCTAAACTCTGCTTACCAGCTCTTCCATGCCTCTGAGATGTATTTCCCTAGTCTTATCTGCTTTGTATTCCTTTGTTATTACAGCAGAATGGTGTTCCCCCGTGACCTGCTAGCTATCTCCTCGCTTCAAACAGAAGTCTCCAAGTCTGAGTGACAACTCGGTCCAATTTCCTCCTTGTCTGAGAGCATTTTACTTTCCCCTCAGAGCTACGTTTGGAAGCCTGCATATTTTCTGTCCCTCATTTTCTGCAGCCTGGGGGACGGTGGATGTGGAAGTAGAGCTCATCTGTGGTGACAGACAGGCAGTCCCCTCTCAGTCTACTGTGTCCTGTATTACCTGAGGGCGTCTCCCCTCTAATCCGTGACAGAACTTGTACACCACTCGCATAAGGTCACTTCCCTGGGCGGCACACAGCACTAGAGCCTTCAGTGTCTCGGGGTATAAATTCCAGAGTTCATTTCCCACATTCTGGCCATAGTACAATCCAGAATCCAGTTGCTACTTCGGCTTCTTTGATGAGTAAGGGGTAGGGCACACATTTGGTTGATTGTCAGTTTTGGAAGTGCGAGGGACAATTCTCACAGCTTGACTAACTCATTAGAGCTGTAGCTGCCGACGAGGACTAGATTCTGCTAAGCCACGCTGTGCCTCTTCTCTCTGGAATCTTCCTTTCCTTGGCTGTCACTTCTGAAATTCACTGTTATCTGATTGCATCATTATTTGTGTTTGCTCTTGGTGATTTCTTCGGTTAGTCTTCATTATCTTGTATTCATTCTGAGTATGGAGGGGGGAAAATGCTGAGTGCAGTTCACACGCCATTTTGAATTTGGCTGTACTCGGAGGCTGCTAACTGCCAGGTCGATCTGGGCCTAAAAAGAAGTTTCTAAGATCCTGGCCACAGTTCCGCCTGGCTGCCTGGGGAGGCAGCAGATCACAGCCAGCCGACCTTTGCACACCACCTACACCCTCATTTCCACTGCCCCAGCTGCTCTGTTCTCTGAAAGTCCAGTATTTTCTGGATCATCTTAGTGAAGTTCTCTAAACGTTCCTATCAGAAGTGTGAAAGGTTAGCAAGAACCTTCTGATTTTCTGCTCAGGAAAGTTTACTGGACTACCATAAACACGTTTCCTAATAAACGGCAGTAGAAAGTAAAAGCTGAGGACCTAAAGTGAGTATTTAATGAACAGTAACCAAGGTGGTTTCCCAGGTTTCTGTGAGCAGATAAGCACCTGCTTCTATTTATGAATGAGGAAACTAAAACCTAGTCCTACGGAATATTGACATGGAGATTCCACAATCAAGTACGGTACATCAAAATTCTAAATTCACTAATACTTTCTATTTCTGAAATGCTCTTTCCAAGATGGCATTTCAAACACAGAACATATATTCTCTCTGATTTTATTTATATCTATATATATATAAATATATGTAACAATTTATATAACAATATATAAGTATATATTGAATAAATGTTGCATAATTGAATAAATTAAAACCAAGTTTCTTTTTGAAAAGTAAGATCATGAAGATTTTAAATGCTTAAAGAAGCACCTTATTAACTACTCATAGACACAAACATTTCATGAGACAGGTGTGTTAAGTTTTCTGTCTCTGTGATACCTGAGAAAATCAACTCAGAGGAAAGATTTATTTTGGTTCACAGTTTCAGAGGTTCCAGTCCATGGTGGGCTGGCTCAATTGCTTTTAGGCTTATGGCAAGGCAGAAACATCAAGGCAGAAGTTGTGCAGACAACAGCTGCTCACCTGTGGGGACCCGGAAGCAGCAAGAGAGACACCTGTACTGGCAGACTTCCTCCTTCTGCTTTTGCTCCACTCAGGCCCTCAGCCTATTGGTTGGTCCTGCCCACGTTCAGGGCAGGTCTCCCACCTCTGTTTGCTGTCTCACATGCCAATCATCTCTGAAAATGCCACACATTTCAGTGTGCTTTACTAATTTCCTAGGTGTTTCTCGATCTCATCAACCTGACAATCAAGATCAAGAACAGGAAATTTTACTTCAAACCAAATGAAAATAGAAGGTACCACTCTAGTCAAAACAATGTAAAATGTTCTCCCTGTCTCAGTGTACAACTGATTATATTCTACCATTATGTCTTCAGACGGGGGCAGATTTGAAAGTCGTTGTACCACAGTTTGGATGTGGCGTGTCCTCCAGAAGGCCATGTGTTAAAGGTCTGGGCCCCCACGTGCCACTGTTGGCAGGAGGTAGAAACGATTTCACCCCCTGGCCAGGAGGTGTGTGGTTCTGCTCCGTGACACACTCAGGGCCACGGCAATCCAGCATCGCCACCCTAGGCCCAGAGCAGATTGGAACTCCAAAACAGACCTTTTCTCTTTGCAACCTGACTGCCTCAGGTGTCTGTTACGGTGCTGGAAAGCTAACACACACAGTCTCTCACAATTCCATTTAAAATATTCCAAGTGTAAACAAGGAGGCCATGCTCTTCCCCTTCATTCATTCAACAACCATTTACTCAACATTTACAATAGCAACTTTGTACTTCTTTTCTTCTTTTTGGTCCAGCAGATTAAACAGATTAGCCAAGATTTTATAATAGGAAAGTTTCTGTATGTAACTTGCTTTCCATCTTGTTCTTACAGTCCTGATGCAGTGTATACTTGAATCACCCAGCTCAGCTTTCTATATTTCTTCTAAATACAAAACAATGTTCATTGTTTTCATGACAGTACATCAAATTGTACCTTAATGTTTTTCTCTTGCACAGAGTTACTGATGCGTTCTCTCAGGGGTTTCATGGATGAACTACCCTCTTGTACGGGAGATCTAGGTAAAAAAAGAAAAGAAAAAAGTAAAAATGTACTGCTATGGTCTGAATGTCTGCGTCCTCCAAACTTCCAGAGCGAGCGAGTATACTAAGAGGTGGGGCCTCCAGCAGGTGGCTCGCTCACAGGAGTCTGCGTGCGCTCTGCCCTTCTGCCCTTCTCTCACAGGAAGAAGCTGCCTAAGGTGCCATCGAGGAGACACGGTCTCACCCGCAATGACAGTGGGCCTGCTGGCACCGTGATCTTCGGCCTCTAAAACTGTGGGAAATAAACCTCTGTTATTTCCAGATTACGCAACCTAAGGGATCGGGGCCTAAGGGAACCAAGACACCCAGAAACCTAAGTGGTTCAAAACTCAGTGGACCATATATGTGTGGTTCTATTTCTAGATTCTCTGTTTTATTCCAATGATCTATATGTCTTTCCTTACACCAACACTGCCTTGATTACTGTAGCTTTAGAAGAAGTCTTAAAATTAGGTACTAAACGTCTTCCAACACTGTTTTTGTTTTTGTTTTTAACTTTTCCAGATCCTTTGTACTCCTACATAACTTTTAAATTTCAATATCCAGTTCTTCATTTATAGCAAGTATACACAGACCTGCATTTTTATATATACCTTGTGTTTTCTAATCCTGCTAAATTCAAGTACAAGTTCTAGGGGCTCCTAGAGATTTCTTAGTATTTTCTCTGTAGATGATCATTTCATCTACATATAAAGATTTTGCTTCTGCTGCACCAATCCTATCCTAGTTGTGTCATTTTATTGCCAGACTATTTTGGTGGGGCCTAGGTTTCAAAGTTTAATGGACAGATAAAGAGTAAGCATATCTGCCCTTGTTCCCCACCTTAAGGAGAAAGCATTGTATCTTCTCCATTCATATAAAGCATTCTCACTGGAAGTATGGAGTACAGGTCTTTAATCTGTTGAGAAGGTTCTGTTCTACTTCTAGTCTCCTGATAGCTTTTACCATGAACAGCTGTAGAATTTAGTCCAATACTTTTTCTCCAACTAGTGACAGGATCATATGGCTTTTTCCTTTCCTCTGTTAAAAATGATGACTTTTAGGGGTGGATCTTCTAATGCTGAACCAACACTGCCATCCCTATAACAAAATCACTTTCTACATACTGCCAGATCTGACTTCTAATATTTTGTTTTGTTAAACAAATTTCTATCTATGTTCATACTTTTTTCTTCCAATTATCTTTATCCAGTTTTAGGATTAGCACAATGTTGAGTTCCTAAAATGAGGGGAGAAGTGTTCCTTTTTTCTGCTTTAATTGTTTGATATAATTTATCAGTTAAAATATACATGAGCCTGTTGTCATATAGGTAGGTTTTCAAGCTAGGAATATACTTTCTTTAATAGGTGCTATTCAAATTTTATATTTCCTCCAGAGTTAGTTTCATTAATTTGTTTTCCAAGTTACTTCTTAGAAGTTGTCAAATTTATTTCAAAAAAGATTTTTGTAATATGCTTTCTATATCCTTTTAAATTCTGTAAAATCTGTGGTAATGTCTCCTAGATCTTAATATTGTGATTTTAAAAATGTATAACTGATATTGTGTAACAGGAAGAAAAGGTCTAAAAGAGCAGGGGAATTGTGAGGGGTAGGGGAAGGGAAAAAAGGGAAAGGAAAAAATATGAGAAGAGGAAAAAAAATGGAAACAAGGTCTTTGCAAATAGGGAAGGGAGGGCAGGGGAAGGGGAAAAAAAATAAGAACCAAGATACTCATGTAATGGTACAAGATCCCAATGATGAATGTAACTGTATTTTATGCCTAAAATGTAACAATAAAGTTAATGGGGGAAAAAAAAAGAGAAAGAAACCTTAGTGGCTCTTAAACCAGTTCCCCACTGCCCTACTCCAAGGCACAGGTACAGAATAAAAGACACCTTTGGCTACATTTATAACATTTTATAAAGTATCCGAACTCCTATTCTGGGAGTCCTAAATATTCATGATTTGCTCAATTAATTAATTCAGTAACTGAATATTGCTTGAATTTGTACTTATTTGTAAGGCCGTTGTGGTGGACAGAAAGCTGATCTGCTCACTGGCCTTGTGTTCAGGCATCATGAGGTCTAAGTAAGGAAATAAGATGTCCATATAACTAAAATGCAAAACAGGGGACTTCAAAAGAGAAAAATGGAAACTGGAAGTTTGAGAAGGTACAACGGAAGAGGTTCCTGGAGTCTGGTCATACCACCCTGCATGCCTCAATAAATTAATCCTTTGTTTGTCTTCATTCAACCAGTATCAGAAGCTCTTTGACTCAAAAGTCCATTATCTAATAAAAGATAGTCTACCTTAAGAAAGAATAACTGACTTAAATTCATATACTACGTTGCCCTTAATTTTGCTGCTTTGGTGCAGATCATTAAAATCGTACTTTGCCACACACCGTCTGTACAACAATTAGAAATGCTAATGTGGAACCTAAACTCTATAAACAACTGAAATGTGTCAGCCACATGATTCCTTTTTAAAATAGATGTAGGGATGAATTTTGTTTATACAAAGTCTACAAATACTTTGAGAAAATGATAGAATTCAATCTGTGAGAAAATTACAATTATCTACACGTCTACATAACAGCAAATGTCATTAAACAGAAAAAAGGGTTCATTTTCTTTACACTGTTTTCTAAGATTCTAGCACAAATTATAAGTAAAATACTGATAAGAGAAATGTTCATTGTTACAAAAACATCTGGGCAATTTGAGGTAGAATGTGGAAGAACTGTTATCTACCAGGACATAGAAGATTAGTCATGGAAAGCTACTGAAGATGCAACTTGAAGGGATCAGACGACAGCACTGAGCGACAGGTCATTATGAAGTCTCTCTAGAGAGAAGAGGAGGACCCTGAGGCACAGGGGAGCCCGGAAGTGACCACAGATGGACAGGATGATTTCAGGTACAAGATCACAGATTTCTGAGCACTGGCTCCAGAAGAAAACAGAAAGCATCGAACAGTAGGATAACTTTGTGAAAATTCTCTAGGATGCACTAAATACCATTTAAAAGGTTCTTATAAAATTGTTAATGTTCCTAAGAGTGAATTTTCATTTAAAAATAGCAGCACACTATTAAAAGACTGATTTCTCTGTTGTGAGAACTGGAGAGTTCCTACTGCTGGCTGAAACGTGTGCACCCCTAAAATACCAGTGTTGAAGCCTTAACCCTCAAATGCGACTGTTTCTGGAGGGAGGATTTTTAGATAATTCATTTGGCCTTATTGGGGTTATAACAGCAATGGCCTAATCTGATGAGACAGGTGACCATATAAGGGAAGGCAGGGCTCCCCCCTATGCCCACAAGTCAAGGAGTCAGGGAAGGTCATGTGAGCATGAAGCAGATCACGGCAAGGCGAGAGACCTCACCAGCACCCATCTGTCCTGGTGCCCTGGCCTCACACTTCTGGTCTCTGCAGCTGGACTTCCTGTCGGAGCAGTCAAGACGCCATCATTACCGGCACTAATTTAGCAAATATTTTTTCTCATAATGGAAAGATGAACCAGTAAATGTCAATTCCAAGGTAAGTTTGCTGTGTACACCCTCTCCTATAAGCACTGTTTGGAGCAGAGGCCTCAGGCTTTGGAGAAGGAAATGCTTGGTACTTGTTCACTTAGCTATCAGTTATTAAGTGGGGATACTATTACAAGAAGTTGCTCTGAGGGCTGCGAAATTTACATGAAAGCATTTAGCAAAGTTTTTGATGCACTGCAAATAAATATTTTTTCAGAGCAAAAAGAAAAGAAAAAAACAACACTGAAACCAAAAGCACCTGAATATTACTTTTTCAATCTATAAGCTCTTTGCATTTATTTAATCTCCCTTTAACTAGCTTTTGCTTACTTCATACTTTGCTGTAGTTTCCAAATTTCCTACCATAAGCACGTATTTCTTTTATAATCAACAAGAGTTTTCCCGAAGCTTCTGGCATTAACATTTGTACTGATATAACGTCGACATTATTTACCTGAACAGTGTGAGGATGGAAGGCCTATCGTGATGGGCTGTGTTCCCGTCGCTGTACAACAGCTCTGCTTTGTTTCGGGTCGGCGCATCGGCTGCTTCTTCATCCAGAAGAACCAGTAAGGCCTGCACAGTGTCTCTGCCACAGTAGGCAGTGCCGTGGTTTATGGCATGAGATTTTGGCTAGAACAAAAAGTACCAATCCCTCAAACAATGTAAATATCGTGTGCTGAGAGCATATACCGAAGGAAAAAAAGAAAAAAACTGATTTTAAGTAAATGTAACAACCACCCCAGCTGCGTCAATCAGGCACACTTCTGTGTTGCTGAAGTTACAGAAAGGCACCTAAGGAAAGTGGCTGCATGGCACGGGATGCTTCTCCTGTAACATATCTATGAGCAATCTTAGCAATTTTCAGATGCACAAAAATGGTAACATCGAAAGAAGACAGTATTTTTCTGGTCAAAATAACACCAGGCTTTCAGTCGGGAAAATCTAGGCATTGACTCTTACAGTAAAGGAAGATGAGGTTCGGGCAATCTCAACACTAATGGCACAGACTGCTGTTAAGGTCTCATCTCATGTAAAAATGAAGCTGTTGACATTCATTCATTCCATAGTCACTGATTAGTACGTCTATGTCCCAAGCATTATGAGCTACAGCTACAAAGGCAAAAACCACTGCCCTGCAGAAATCCATGGACTCCCTGATAAGATAAATGAGCAACTCTAACATCGCCTTCCAGGATGCTGAGATTTCTCTTCAGTGTGCACTGACTGATTCCTACTCAGTGCAGGGGGAGCGCACACAAGGGAGTGGACAGAGCACCGTGGCGTCCAGGACGGCCTCAAGAGGAGGAGACACAGAGGCAAGACACAGCGCCCTGGAAACAGGGAGCACAACAGGGTGGGGAACCCAAGAAAGGAGGAAGTTAGTGGGATGTGCTGGACAAGCTCTGCATACCACGCAAAGAAGTTAGGAGGCAGCCGGTGACAAAGCCAAACCGCCTGCTTTCACAGCAAGGCAGTACAAGGACCCTATTTAGGTTTTAGAAAAATCACCAATAGCGAATGTAAAGTGCATTTCAGTGTAAGTTCAGTATCAAATCTTAGACAGGGGCACAAATTAAAAGGTTATGAAAGACCAGGTCTGAACTAAGATAGTAGCACCAGAGATAAGGCAGATTAAAAAGGGAGAGCTCAAAACATTTAGAGACTAGACAGGAAAATAGAAGAAAATATATGATACTATCACATTCCTCAGAGATACACGTAAGCATAAATCCGGAGCCATTTCTAGCTAGGTCTGATACCAACTTAGGAACTGCATCGCTACACAAAACCCTGGGGAAGCTGAGTAAGTTAAGCTCGCTAGCAAACAGGGCAGTGGCAGCTCCCTCCCATAGAGCTGGTGGACTCCGTGCCTCGGGTCAAAGCGGCCTTTTCTGGGCCATCTGGGCCGCTGAGCCAGTTTCCTCAGCGATGTCAAGCAGGTCTGGGGCTCCTTTCCCTGCCCGGCAGACTTGGGCCACCACCCGAATCTAAGGTGCAGCTCCACCAGGCTCAAACTGCCTCTCGAAGTCTGGGGCACGGTAGTTTGCATCCGTGCCAGAGAACTCCGAGTTGTTGGACCCTAACCTCACTAAGTATTATTTGATTGTATTTTGCAAAGACATGTAATTTGGTGGAAAACAAAATTAAGAACCAGGTTGCTGGCACTTTTCTTTTGTCAGAAAATGAGACAGACTGGTGCTCTTAATTACCTGAGATGGGGGCAGTTCCTGGTCTTTATGCATAATTCTAATCTGGTTGTTGTCGGAGCCTAGCTGGTCAGTGGAAATGTTAACACACATGAAATAATGGCGTACCATCCCAGGATTTCCCCCATGCTGGAATTTCAAATCTAAAAACATGTGTCTTTATAAAACAATAGCTAAAAGTAGTCACTAAGAGGAATGAATGAATGAATGAAGCTTAAGCAGACATCTTTCTCCATACATTGCCTGCTCCAGACACCCAGCAAAAAGGGGTGTCTGTAGCTGACCACATGGTCATGAACAGACCACCGCACATACACCCAAACTCTGTCCTGAAGCCAAAACATGGTGTCAGCTTCTCCTACCATACTGAACACTACCAGCTATTCTATTTGACTATGTAAGAAAATTAAGAAAGAAGTAAATGTTCCCGGAATATACAATGACAAGATTGCCAGGTGTGGGGAAACTGGATGGTGGCAGATGGGAATGGATATAGAAAATAAGAGACTGCGGGAATCTATAGAAGAAAACTGCTGCACGGAAACCATTTCTAACAGGACTGCTGCCATTCCTTGGAGAGCTTAGTACTGGGTTCAGAAACTAGGCTCCTAGGGGCTGGGGATTTAGCTCAGTGGTTCCACCACCTGCCTCGAAAGCACAAGGTCCTGAGTTTGACCCCCAGTACCAAAAAAAAGAAAGAAACTAGGCTCCTACATCTGAATAAATGGGAAAATAATTGTTCTATAAGAATAATTGCTGACAAATACCACCAAATATCTTAATGCCCATAAAGAATTAAAAGTTTTTAGTGCTGAAAGAGATAAGGAGATTATCCAATGCCTCACTTTAACACATACAAACAGTTTGTCCCAAAGATGTTATGATTTACCCAGGCTGAACATAATCCTATTGAGAAAATTAAATTTCAACATCATCTTAGGACACAGGAAACAGATTAACTGACTTAAGTGGCGACAGCAAGCCACGGACATGATAAACAGAAGAGACAGTGATCCATATAGAAGACAACAGAAAAGAAAAAGCTCATTACCCGCGCAGGGCTGATGTCACTGGTGCCAAAGGCTCCATCCTCTTGTTGAGAATTGACAACATTTTTAATCCTCAACTCCAAATCCTGAGAGACTTCCTCTACTGCTTTACAGAAGGAATCCCCGCTGCTCTGGCCTTTAATCAGCTGCATCTTTATTACGGACAGTATCCGACCCCCTGCCATGCTGAAAATAGAAGTAAGATGGCCTTTATAACAGCACTGCAAATGACGGTGGATTATAGGCTTGAAAATATAATTCTCAGCACTCATCAACACCTTTCACACAATATAGCTTTGATCTTATAAATCAAACAGTGAAGCCTTTAAAAAAAAGATGAGGACCACTAGAAACAAAATATTTAAAAGTTTTTCTGAAAGCAAGTAATTTCAACAAGTTCATGCTTTATTTCAAAGCTGAAGGGAAATGATTTAGTCATATATGAAGTATAACAGGTCAGGTGCAGTTACAGACATGCATGAAGTCTGTACCTCTGGATACTACTGAGATAATGAAAACATCTACCTCTCACTGAATACCTAGGATCTTAAGACCAATTCAGTAAGTTGTTATTAGACGCGCTAAATATCAGGTGAGAGAACTGAGTCTCATAAAGGTTAAATAGCCTGACTAAGAACACATGGTGCTCTGAAAGAAATTACGCGAGTTAGTACTAATCCACTAGTGCTGTCCAGCAACAGGAGAAGGTCCTCTTTGAAGTCCCGAGATCACCGTTCCCAGTTACTCGGTGCCCGGCGAGCACCGCTGGTCCGGGGCTGGGGCAGGCTACCTGGGCACACTGCTGAACTTCCACTGTGCTGCTCTTTCGCTCTGGGGCCCGGGCAGCTTATCAATACATTTACCCTTTGCTGCCTCACTGCCAGGCTTCCTGTGTCAGAGAACAGCCAAGTTCCCTAACACGTGTGAAAAATGATTCTGCACATTTTAACAGCTGGTCCAAGCAAGAGAGGAACGTTCTAAGAAACATGACAGAGAAACCTGCATGATGGTAACGCATTACAGGGTCGGTCCCACCTTCCCTAGCATCAGGACCACATTCAGCTGTGTTTAGAACGCCAACTCCTCTCCTACTGAATCAGCATCTCTAACAAGGCCACTGGAGAGTCGCACTGATTTAAAAGTATCACAGGTAAGTCCCATAAGGTGAAGTGGGAAAAATCCCAAGCAAAAATTAGCACTTTTAAAAAGCAGGCTGGGGATTTAGCTCGGTGGCACCACGCCTGCCTTGCAAGCACAAGGTCCTGAGTTCCATCCCCGGTACCAAAAAAAGAAAAAAAGCAACCACGTTTAACAATCTTCATACACCAGTTCACACTCAGTACACACAAAAAAGGTGACGATATACGTCTTTGCTACATAAATAAGCACTATTCAGTGTGAAGCTTTTCACAGTGAAATAAAAGATATGTAATTTATTAATACACTATTATTATTATTAGTCCTATAGGAGTCACACGTACACTCTGACGGTCAGCATTGAGGGGAACAAACACAGCTGGGGTGATGAGCAGGGCCCCCTGGGGGTCAGCACCCGGGCCCGGGCAGCAGGAGACAAATCCCCGGGAGCAGCAAGGTCAGGCTGCAGGGCCCTCAAGGAGGCAGCTGCTGTGGCTTTTACTGGCATAGGTCTGTGCACCTCACACTTTGGCGATTCTTCTAAAACTTTTCCTACTTAGCAATAACACGGAAAGACAACCGCTTCTTGTTTACTGGCCATGTACCCAGCAGCGCTGTTGCACTCTATGGGTAACTTTAATAGTTTGCTTCTAGATTCCTGGAGTTTTCTGCCTATGTGAGCATCATGATCACCTCCCTATGAAGCGTCCTATCTCATTCCTTTTTCTTGCCTTACTAATCTGAGTTAGCCATGGAATACTCTGCTGAAAATACATGACAACAGACGCTTATCTTCCACTGAATGCTAAAACATTTTACTGTCATAAACCAGGTTTTTATGGAAGCCCTTTCTGCCAAGTTACAGCCCTGATTCTCTGTTCATCTTTACACTAGGGGGTCAACTCTGGGGCATGGTTGGTTGTGTGGTTACGTGTTCCCATTAGGCCCCACCTCGGGCCTTCCCTGGGTTTTGTTCCCTCAGACTTTAGGGGCACATAATAAGTTATCCAGCATTATTCGTTGGGGGGGGGGGGACAGGATCTCATTCTGTAGCACAGGCTGGCCTCAAACTCAGTGACCCTCCTGCCTCAGCCTCAAAAGTGCTGAGGTTACAGGCGTGCACCACCATGCCTGGCTCCCACTCTCAATGAACATTACAAGGAGACTGTGGGTAAGAAAGGTACCTGGCAGCTTGTGCCTCTTAACTGCATCTCACCAGAGCCAGGGGAAGAGGAAATGAAGCCCCAAGCTTGGACCAAAACAAACACCCAGGAGAGAATACAAGGCACTGATACAGACAAACGACTGGAAGTGTCTTCCTGTGTTATGGGTCATTCTTTACGACATCAACGGAAGGGCTTTTCTGTACCATGTTTAAGAACTTGACAACGATTTGCTGAAATAAACGTTGCCTTTAAAGATTGAGTGTGATTGAAGGTACCACATAAAACATTTCAAAAATGATTCTAAAGTGTTTTAAACACACACAAAAAATGTTACCATCAGATAAGACTGGAAAATTTCAACCAGGTTTCAACTTCTGTGTTTACTTAGTCCAACATAAGACAGTGCAGGTGGGCACTGAAATGCTGGATCAGAAACTGGAACTACAACATTTTAAACTCTGACCAGCAGCACTGATCTGTGTGCCCTGAAGGATCTAAGACAGGTTTCAGGTGAGAGCAGAGCGTGTGTGCACTTTCTGGCAGCACCTACTGGCAGAGCGTGGAAATACAGCCAGCCATCACAGCCCCCTGAAAAGCTGCCACCGGGGAATTTCTTTCTTCCCCGCTCATTATTCCTTGGATTCCAAATACAATTTCCTGTCCAAGTTTTAAGGTTTCGAGACAGAACACAGGAAGAGGCCAGAGTGAGAGATGGGTGGGCGTTAGGCTTGTACAGTGTCATACACCTGGCCGAGATTCCCGGGGCTGTAGTCTGCGCCTCTGCGGAGTCATTGAAGGTTTTTAGTCATGTGGCTAACATGGGCTGTTTCAGAATGGTGGTGATGAGGGTGACGGGCTAGAGCAACCCAAGACTGGAGGCAGAATGGACAATCAGAGCCAGGCAGAGAAGTCCAGACAGGAAAGGATGAAAGGGCAACCAATGCCAGACGGCAAGAAGACTGGAAACAAGACAGTAGCTACAGGAACCAGACCAAGAGGTGGGATGTGAAAAGTACTCAGAGGAGTGCAGGGCTCCTGGTTAGCCAGGGAAAAGAGCAAGCAAAAAGAGGATGCTAGGACTGTCCCGGATCTCTGTGGGGCTGTGGAGGGAGAGAAGTCCCGTCGCTGGAGGAGATGTAGTTCTGCAGGGAAGGATGAAGATTCAGTAGCGGACACGTGAAGGTCGAGTTCCTCTGAAGTACATCCTGAAAGGCAGCTGGAGATGTTTCTGAAAATCAGGAAGGAAATTTTGATTGGAAGAATCTGCATACATGTAGTCAGCTCAGCAGATGATAAGACAATGAGATCTCAGGAGTTGTAAGAAAAACAAAGCTGTAAGAGAAAGTGACCGACGTGATCATTAGCTGAGGGAGAACAACGTGAACGTGTGTGAGTGGAGTACAGATGGTGAATAAACCCCGGGCATCGGTTCTGTGCCAGACACTGGGCTAGGATGAGGGAGGAGGAGTAAAGAAAACCAGTAAGCCCTCATGGAGTCTACTGCTCAATGAAGAATACACATTAAACAAATAGGAAAGAGGGAAAAGGTACCATTTTTTTATTCTTCAAGAATTTAAGCTACAAAAGGAAGAAGAAAGAACTAGAAAAAAAAGCTTTTTTTCTTATAATCTTTATAAATGGTGGCTAAACTCCAAGTAGACAGAGAGGTTAAAATTATTAGACAAAATGAATAACCGAAAGGGCAATAGCCCTGTAGGCTATCCATGCCCTCTCCCCAGATCTGGCTGACTTCTTCAAGTTCATCCTTCAATATTAAGCTCAACTAAGACACCCTCCAGATAAGCAGGGCAGAAACCTTTCCCAAGGCTTCCACCAGGGCAGCAGGGCACAGGTCCCTCCCTCTGTACGCCACCCGTCTGTCCTTGCATAAGCAGGGTATGTTTTAGTTTTCAATCATTTTACTTTTTTAATTAATAAAATACCACCATAAGAAAGAGAATTAGGATCGCTCAAGTCCACTACAGAGACGCCCACCTGAGGACACTGACCATCTCTTCTCATGCCCACTTCTTCAGGGTTTTCCCCAAAAGACGGAGCAATTTATTACTCATTAGGACCGGAGGACGTGCTGGGATGAATGGCTTCTTAGTTGAAGAAGTCTATTCCTTCCATGCTTCCAAAACAAATGCATTTCTTTCTATGCTTTCAATCATTTTCCCAACCAGAAATCCTTCCAGAATTATAACAAATTACATTGCACTGAATATATGCATTTATCTTGGCTCCTTCCCAAAACCTAATGTAAAAAACAAAACGGCACAAAGAGAATTTTAACTCTGTAAAGAGACAGAGAATGGGAGAGGTAACGGCAGCTGATGAGCAGAGACATTCCCCCAAGCAAGGAAAGATGAGGGAGAAAGGCAGGGCTTGCGGCTACCTGACTGCCCAGAGCAGAGAAATCTAAACCCCAGGGGCCTGTGGGGAGGGACGCGTGTAAGAAGACTCCGAAACTGCAGACGGCACGAAAGGCCACGGTGACCGGTGACCGTGGGGCCGCAAGCAGACCAGTGTGTCTGTCCCAGCATCCCCTTCCGCCCGAGCAGCCAGCCAGCGCGCCTCTCCCGCGGGGCAAGCGCAGAGGGTCACCATGGCGACACTTCCCGCGAGAGTCACGTGACTGCACCACCCTAAGCCCCAGAGCATCACCAGCTAGACTGACAGCTTTCAGAGACAGAGGACGCCTTTGTGAACATTTTGGGAAAAGCCCCAAAGAAAAAACCTAGTTAGTGACATCTGGAGAGGAAGTCCCCAACAAAAAGGCCAACTGGCCCTCATCCACACAAGGCGGCTAATCAGCTTTACGGAGCCTCACTCTTGAACATGAAAGGACAACTCAGAATCACTAAGCATTTACTAACACCTCTAACGTGAGAAAGAGCAAACCAGTCTAACAAACTGGAACACAATCTAGATAAAACAAATGTCACCTAGGAACCAGACAGAAGTGTTTTTAACTAGATATAATTAATAATCTTAGACAAATGATCAAACAAACATAACAGTGGAAAAAAGACATTTGTCTCTCACTTGCTTTTTATAAGAAAGCTATTTGAGCAAACTCAGGGGCTTAGCAATGAAAAATAGCAATGAGATTCAAGGCAGAGGCAAAGAAAAATTCACAAGGCAGTGGCGAAGCTGCAGAGTTAGCAGCCCAGCCCGGCCAGGCCTGGAGCAAAGGTATGGAGAGAAGAGAGGAAGCGCTCCAGGCTGGAAGGCTTGCAGGGCAAAGTGCAGACTGGTGGGTGGCCCAGTATTAACAAGAATGTTTAGTTTTATTTCCAAGCTTGATAACAAACTGATGAGAAATATAGAAGAGGTAAACCAAAAGGAAAAAGTAGATCATTATTAACTGTAAAAGACATAAAAATTCGTTTCAGAAAGGAAGTATAAGCATATCATATAGCTTAGCCACAGACAACATTAATAGTCATAATAAAGTAAGTTCTAAAATGCGAGATGACCCAAAAGATGTTACTCCTACAATAGAAAGATGAAGAAAGAAGTGTGTGTGAAGAGCAGGGTGGGGAGAACTGCTGGGAGCTCCTTGGGTTGGAATGGGTTGGAAATCCTTATATTCCACGGGAGAAGTGAACAGGTGTTGTCCAGAATTAAAAAATCAAAACCAGCTGCAAAAACCTTCATTTATATGGAAGTAAACATAGAAGCAAAAATATTTTTAAAAATTAAGTCTTCCGAAGAGGAAGGCTTTTCAATTCTAAGACTAGGGTAAATCTACATTGTATTACAAAGATATTTTTAAATTATCTGTTATCTCAGAATGAATGGCCAGCCAATATGTTATCTGGGATTCAAGTGCTCACTGCAGCAGTACATATACTAAAACTGAAATTCAAAGGATGCTCCTGATATTGGCTACAAGTCATTTTCAAAGCCCGCTCCCAAATTTACTTCTTTATATCCATGTAAGAACAGGATCCAGTTAAGAATAAAATCCTGAAAAACTTCTTCCTGGACTTAGAATAGAAAGAAGCTTTGCAGAAGGAGATAGACAGTGGGTGCCCGGGTCCGGACTGACTGAGCTTGAGTCCCAGCTGTAGCACCAGTAACAATGCAACCTGGGGCAAATCTCCAGGCCCAGGGCTCTGCCTTCTTCATCTCCAGACTGGGGCAGTAACACCACCTCTCAGGTTACGGTGATCAAATGATAACCCACAAGAAGAGCGGGACTCAATTTCTGACACGTAAGTGACATCACGCGTGACATCACTGTGAACTATTTCTATCAGAACTACGCAGTGACAAATGAATCAGACAGTAACCCACCATCATGACTGGCATACACAGTACAGTTCTGCCCCCAAAACTTAAATCAAAAATTTACCATTCAATACACCTGTAAGTAGAAGTCTGTAAGATTAAAAAAACCTCTTATCTACAATATATGTATAACAAAAATTACAGATGATACAAAGATTTACCCATAAGAAAATACTAGCAGAAAATAGATATTTCTTCAGAGCTTTTTCCATTTTCTTACTCATTCTTGGTTTGTTTCTTTTATTGCAAAACTAAAAAGTTTAAAAGAGGGCCAGGGATTTAGCTCAGTGGCACCGCACCTGCCTTGCAAGCACAAGGTACTGAGTTTGATCCCCAGTACCAAAAAAAAGTTTTAAAGAATTATCTATTTGGTAATTTACAGTCCTCAAACATCTGTTTCTTCTGGATAAAGATACATGGTAAGGTTCTTTGCCAATCCAGGTTAGTTGGGACTTGCCTTTGACTTTGGCAAATAAATATCTCAGGATCACAGTGAGGCAGAAATTTAGGGGGGGGAACTGTGCAATTAGAATTTATTCATCCAGATGTTTCGTTTCTTCTCCCCATTGTTTTATCTGCTGCATGGTCATTTCAATGTCTCTTCCATTCTTACCTCAGATTCTGGGATATTCTACACCATAACACATTAGTAATTTATGAAAAGTTATTACCTTGGGTTTGGTATTTCTCCAAGAATCTCGTGCAGTTTGTCAATGAAATTAATAAAATTAGATAACCCCTTTACATGTGTCCTCAAAGGGTCAGAGGGCGAGGGGGCATACCCTTTCCCTCCAAGCTCGATCGTTCTAATAAATGATGTGGCCACCTATGAACAAAAGCAAATGATTTAACGTTAATGGTTCAGGGAGTGAAAACTGCATGTGCTCTGTGAAGCTGGGTAATTCTGTGGAACGCTAGACTCAGACTGGCTCAGACTCCGGAGCAGAGGACCACAGAAGCAAGTACCAGGGGGACTCCCACCAGCAAGGGAGGCAGTAATGATGCCCCACAGGCCCGGTCTGAGGTGCTAAGTGAGGGGAGAAGTGAAGCACCAAAGAGAATGCCCACATTCGTCAGAACAAACCACTGACTACAAAGAACCTGATTATAGACGTCTTATTCACATTGCTATTGGAATTGGTACTCAGGACAAACTCATCTTCAGGGTCAACTGACCTCTCATGTTAAATGGGTGCACTGGTCTGAGTCGAACACTTTCAAACTCCTATTTTATCTTTACTGTAAAACACAGATTTAGACTAGATAATCACTAAGTTCCACTCAGGAACTAAGATTGTGGAATCATGTGGAGTTAAAAGTTCTTTTCAGTCTCGATCAAAGATCAAATGTGCTAAAGCAGTATTTTCCAAAGTGTTACCTTAAGACGGACTACGAAATGTTAATAATTTTGGGGAAAGTTCCATGGTCCAAGAACTTAGCAAACAACATTTGATAAAAAGGTTAATGTCTTGTACGTTTTAAGCAGACTGCTTTTTAAATTTCTTATGGTCTCCAATGTTTTCACTTCTTTACAGGTTACACAGATCAACGGGTCTCCCTTGGCAGATTCGCACATGTACAAAGTGCACTTGGACCATCTTCACATGCCCGTCACCCCAGTTGCCCCCTGGGGGATTCAGTGCATGTATTTTGCTCAGATCCATCCCCCGTCACATCCCCGTATATGCCCTCCCTCTTATTCCCTCTTCTTGTCTAATAATAGTTTCCCTTCTACTTTCTTCTTATCTATTTTAGATTCCATGCACTAGGGAAAATATGCAATACTTGTCTTTCTGAGTCTGACTTATCTCACTCAACATGGTGGTCAGATCCATTCATTTTCCTATGAATAACAGAATTCCATTCTTGTTTATGGCTGAATAATACTCCACTGTGTACGTGTTCCTTATCCATTCATCTGTCCATTCAGATGTTCCCTATCTTGGCCATTGTGAATTGTGCCGCAATAAACACAGATACTCAGCTGTCTCTACAGTAGGCTGTCTTTAATTCCTTTGGGTGTATACCAAGGGGTCAATAGGAGCTCTATTTTTAGGTTTTTGAGAAACCTACATACAGATTTCCATGGTGGCTGTACTAATTTACAGCCACCAGCATGTAGAAAGTTTCCTTTTTTAGCTGCACCCTCACTAGTCATTTGTTTTTTTAATTTATATTTTATTTTTTGGTACCGGGGATCAAACTCGGGTCCTTGTGCTTGCGCAGCAGGCGGAGAAACCACTGAGCTAAATCCCCAGCCCACCCTCACTAGTCTTTACTGTATTTTGTATTCTCGATGACAGCCAATCTGACTGGGGTAAGATGGAATCTCAGTAGTTTGATCTGCATTTTGCTAATAGCTAAAGATGTTGAACATTTTTTTCATATACTTATTGCCAATGTGAACTACTTCCGAGAAGTGTCCGTTCAATTCACTGGCCCACTTGTTAACTGTGCTATTTTTTTCAGTTCTTTATATATTTCAAACATTAGTCCTCTCTGTTGGAAGGTAATCCGTCTCTTCATTCTGTCACTTGTTTCTTTGCTGCGCAGAAACTTTTTAATTTGATGCCGTCCCACTTGTTGATTCTTCCTACTATTGCCCATGCCATCTGAGTCCTACTCAGGAAGTCTCTGCCTGTGCCTATGCCTTCAAGTGTCCCCCTATATTTCCTCTTAGCCATTTCAAAGTGTCAAGTCATACACCTAGCTCTTTGATCCATTCTGAATTGATTTCTATACCCGGTGAGTGACAGAGATCTATTCCAATCTTCTCCAGTTTTCCCAGCATCAGTTGTTGAAAAGCTTTTCTTTTTTCCAACATCTATCTTTCGTTCCTTTTTCCAGAATCCGAAGGCTGTAGTTGTGTGGGTTTGTTTCTGTATCCTCTGTTCTTTTCTACTGGTCTGTATGTCTATTTCTGTGCCATTACCATGTGGTTTCTGTCACCATGGCTTTGTAGTATAAATTGAAACTGGGTATCGTGAAGGCTCCAGCCTTGCTCTTTTCGCTGAGGATTGCTTTGGTCAATCTGGATCCTTGGTGTTTCCATGTGAATTTTAGGGTTGTTTAATTATGCAAAGAATCTCACTGATATTTTGAAGAAAACTGCATTGCACCTGTAGATTGCTTTTGGTAATATGGCCAGTTTGACAATATTAATTCTGACAATCTATGAACATGGAGGGCATTCCATCTTCTGGCGTCTTCCATTCCTTCTTCAGTGTTCTGAAATTTTCAGTAGAGATCTTTCCCTTCCTGGAGGATCCCTACGTTTTTATTTTCTTTAAAACTACTGTGAATGGAATTGCTTTCCTGATTTTTTTTTCTCAGTCCATTATTAGCATTAGCATATATTAAAACCACTGATTTTTTATTTTTATATCTTTCTATTCTGCTGAATTCATTTATCAGCTCTAAAAGTCTTTTGGTAGAATCTTTAGAGTCTTGTAAATATAGGATCATATGATCCACAAACAAGGATAATCTGACTTCTTCCTTTCTTATTTGTACCCTTTTCGGTGGATATCCTGGCCTTGTTCCTGAGCAAGCAGAGTTCTTTACAACACGATGTCTCACAGCTCTTGATAACAAACACACATTATGGTTAAGCAGCAGAGATATACACTATTGCTAAATTTTTTGCCTTTGGAAATATTTATTCAAGGAACATTAATGGGGACTTCTTGCCTTTGGAAACATTGAGTCAAGAAGAATCTACCAAGGTTAGCACACTCAAGGACATATGTGAGAAATAATGCTTTAGAGAAATCCTCCCTTGCCAGCCAGAAGAATATAGTAAAAAAATAGTATGGATTTTCAAATACACAGATGGAACATAGATTAACCACTTAAAAAGTGTTTCACCATAGTTTCAGGAACTCTTTTTTTAAGGTACCTAGACCTGCTGCTCAAGGACTCTTAATCTTAAAAATATAACACATCCATACCAAAAAGATAGACATCTGTTTCTCTCGAGCAGTATGTTTCAAATCGGTGAAGGCTTCTCTTCCAAGTCCTCGGTCGGGAATGTTGAGAATATGAGCCAAGGCCAGGTCATTCTTAGTATTCACTAGCAGGTGTAAATATGAAAAGATAATTGTCTTCGCTAGTAGCTTCACCTGTACAATAAAACATTCAGATATTTTCCATATTGGAGTTGTTCTAAACCCATGATCATTTTGTATATGCAGTAAAAATACATTTGATCATTCAATCACAATACTTGGCTCTTTAGGAGAAGAAAATTATCATATAAACTGAAACTTAGACTGGATAATCAGCACATTCCTTCTCATAAAATCAATTCACTGCCAATAAGAAACTATGAGTAAATAACAACTATAATTGTTAGGAAACTGTTCTTACCAATTATATAAAAGATATTGTCCAAACCTGCATTTCTGACATCGTCTCTTTCATTTCCCTGAACACATCCGCCACTAAAGAACAGACAATAATAAAGATCCCAGCAGCTAAGAGCATGAGCCAACTGGCTCTATTTGGTCCCTAAATCTACAACCCTTACAAAGCTAGGTCCAAGGGCTCAAGTTAAATGTTTGAACTCTTGAGGACAACTACATACTGACTTTTCCAAATAATACCAAATAACCACCCAAAGATTAAAATGAAAAGATTAAACCAAATGTTAAGCAAACAATAGCATGTATTCATGGCATTAGCTGGCCTCAAGCAGAGCTAGAGACCATTCACACACAACAGGTTTGGGAAAACTTAGGTCTTACATATACATTGCACTTATTCTTCAGACTCAGATGATAAGCCAAGGCATTTCATATTCTTTTTCTTCAAATCAGCTACTTATAGCAACTTCTAGTACTAAGGGAGAAGCCATTATGTGAGCCTCACAGATAACAACTATAAATTTTTAGGGAAAAAAATTTTAAATGTAACTGTATAAAAACACTGGAAAATATCCAAAAAGCAGGCACAAGATGGGGAATTTATTGTTAAAAAAGACCCAACAAGAGGGCTAAAAATTGCAAGTTTATGATTATTTGAGGCCCTGCAACTTCCAGTAATTGAGAAGTAAGTAATTCTGTGAATCTTCCAGACAACATTTTGAAGTAGTAAATAAACATTTCAAAATACAATTTAATGATGCTGGAAAGTGTTCAAAAGGCAGACAAAGCTGGAGGAAATTCTAATTTTAAAATAACTGCAACAAAAAGAGTATGAATTAAGTTTGTGGTTTACTGGCCAAGAGTATGCTCAAGTTCATGCTATGGTTATAGAAAACAGGGGTGACTTGAGGGGGTCAGAGATTAGGATTCAGGGCACACAGGGGTTATCCTGGTAATAATTCAGAACATAAGCAGCTCAAATGGTTGGCGGCTAACCTATAAAAGCACAGGAGAGAACGTAGGGGGTCCATCAAAATATAGGGACAAATCAGAAAGAAATCTACTCTACAAAGACTGAGCTACAAAGAGCCAGAGCTGAGTCTGAAGGTTTGCTTGACCTGATGTATTACAGAACTGTGCAGAGCTGAAGTAGCAAAAACCTGAGCCTGAACCTGGTAGAACCAGAAAATTCTTGGGAAGAAAAGAAAGCCGCTGAGAGAATAAGCCCCACCCTTGGCTGACCACCAAATTCGATAGGCAGAAGGGTCACCTACAAAAGCCAAGCTAAAAAAGCAACAAGGGAGCCATAGGAATCAATATCAGCAGCTACACATCAACAGGGAGACAGGATGTTGACATCCAGGCAAGCAAATTGTCTGCTAGAACAAAAGAAGGTATTTCTCAGAAAAACAAAACTGAATTCAGTCACTAGAAAATATTACCTGTGATGTTTCATCCAAAAATTACCAGACACTCAAAGAAAAAGGAACATATCACCCAACCAGGATAAAAAACACTCGATAGAAACTGTCATCAATGAGACCTAGACATAGGTCAGACATCACATCAAGACAACTAGTATAAATTGCATCAAGGAATTATAAGAAAATGTTCAATGAATTAAAGGAATATATACTACTAATAAAGTAATAAGATATGGCAACAGAAAGTGGATGTGATATAAAAAGTAAATTTTTGAGCTAAAAAGTACAGTAAGTAAAATTTTGTTGGATGGGCTCCATAGCAATCTGGAGAAAGTGAAAGAAAGCATCAGTGAACAAGATAGCTCAATAGAAATTACCAAATCTGAAAAATTAAGAACAAAAATGATTTTAAAAAACCAAAGAGATCCAGGAGACAATTTAAACAAGTCCAACATACACATAATTGGAATCCCTGAAGAGGTATGAGAGGACCAGAAAAGAGCGAGATGCAATTATGTCTCAAAGCATCCCAAATTGAAAAACATTAACCTGTAGCTCCGAGAAGCTACTCCTGCAGGGAAAGTACAAAGAAAATCACTCCTACACACACTGTAATCCAACTCTAACAATCAAAGATGAGAGAAAATTTTGAGAGCAGTCAGAGCAAAACAATACATTACCTACAGGAACAAAGAGAAAGTTAACAGATCATCAAGAAATATGTAAGCCAGAGAAGACTGAAACAACAAGATGAACATGCTGAAAAATGACCTCAAGAATTACTATACAATTAAAAAAATCAAAATAAAGAGGTATTTATGAAAATACACAACAGGCACAATAGAACAGAGTCCAGAAACAGGCTGACATGGATGAAGTGATGTGATTTTCACACAAAAGTATAGAAGAAATAGAGAAAATATAGTCTTTTAATAATTTATCTTGGCTGTTCATATGCAAAACAACCCTCAACCAAAACCTCACACACCTTTAATGAAAATGAACTCAAAGTGGATCATAGTTGTACCATATGAGAATATAAAACACTTAGAAAAAAATACAGAAAATATTCAAGACCTGAAATTAGGCAAAAAGTTCCTGTATATGACATAAAAAGCAAAATCCAGGAGAGAAACCAATACACTTGCTTTCATCAAAATTAAACTCCTCGTATGGAATTCTCTTCCTGTCCAACGAAAGGTAAGACAAAGAAGACAGTCCAACTTTTGGAGGTCATTATATGTCAAGCAAAAAATACCTGCACAAATTACAAGTGTTTTCAGTTTAGAAAATTGGCTTTCTTCAAACTGAGGTTAAATATTTATATCTCAGTAAAAATTAGTAGGAAAAGAAACTTGGAACTGTCAGAAAGCTTAAATAAAATTGTCCAGTTTCTAAACAAACATTGGGAATACTGTGTGCCATGGAAAGAATCAGCTTATTAAACAAATAAATGGGACAGGACCCTTCTTTTTGGTATCTTGGTTATGCTTCAGTCTTATGGATTTTTTTTTTCAACTTAGGCCCTCGCTTCGAGACACGACTGTACTCATGTGGACTCTGTTCCCAGACAGCCTCTTTCAAACCTACGTGCACACACGAGAGCAGTGAAACCGTAAGGGCCATGTGACCTGACCTAATGATGGGACAGATGTCCAATGGCAGCCATGGATTAAAAGAAACACCCCGTCCATCGGTGAGGACTCTGCAATGTTCCCCAGATGTTCGCCCAGCATCGCAGATCAGAAGGGCAGCATCTGTTAGCCCAGAAGAGCAAGTTGGAGATGTGGATGCCCAAGCCCTGGTTTTGAATTCAGTTAGGGTCAGGCATATGCATCCTAGGACAGCAGGATACAGTAAGTCCTTATTTTTGAATAGCAGAAATACAGTGAAAGGAGAGTGCATTAAATTAACTATAGGAAATGTAAGAAGGTTCTTTATTACAATGTAAACATCCCTTTGTCTCTGCTTTGATTTTGGCCAAACTATGTTACCTTTCCCAAATGTTAAAGGGATAAATAAGAGGTGGCTGCTTTAGACAGACAAATATTGTACTATGAAGTTAAAAGGAACCTGGGGGTCCTTTCCTGGGCAGGAAACATTCAAGTTGAACTTGAGATATTTTCTTGTACCAGAAAGGACAAAAGAAAATGCTCAAGCAGTCTAACAGGGGAGGGGAGGAGAATGGGGGAAAAAAGAAGAATCAAGATACGTCATGTACAGGTACAAATTCCCTACGATGAATGGGATCGGTATGCATAGCCCAAGTGTCCCAACAAAATTAATTTTTTTCTTTGGTACCGGGGACCGAACTCGGGACCTTGTGCTTGCAAGGCAGGTGGCAGAACCACTGAGCTAAATCCCTGTCCCATCAAAATTAATTTTTAAAAACGTCTAATAGGATTCATAAAAAGGACACAGCAGGTTCCTTACAGTGCTTCCTTTACTTTAGCATCAAAGGTGAAAGAGTGCAACCAATTTCAAAACACTGAATAAATAAAACTTCACGAGCCCTTAGCAATTTACACACACACAAAGGAGAAAGAGACAAAAATGTTATCTGCCTCTTGCATACATCTATTACAACAACTCCTAAATTAGTAAGGCGAATTAGGCACTGACCTTGACATTTTTAGAGAACTGCTCTTTATCCCATTTGACAGAATAAAGCTTTCCTTTACAGAGAAATAGCAAGTAACAAATGGAGGGGTGACAGAGAGAGAAACTCCCTGTTCTACAAATGGTCGAGAAGCAAGGGCTGCAGGCCAGGATCGTGCATGCAAGCCTCCCTCGAAGTGGGAGGTCGCTAGGGCACAGGGTTGTTACAGACCACTGAGGTCACCACACCGCTCTCTGCAGAGAACGGAGGGCAAATCTGCCTCTGCACAGGAAAGAGCTGAAGCTGGGACAACCTGGCTCTGTGCCTCCTCCTGCGACACCAAGTGCAATACTCAGCACCAGTTATAAAGCACTTCTGAAAAACTGCTCTCAGTTGACAGGAAATACAGCAACCAGTGAAACAAGTTAAAAACAACATAACCAGCGTGGGGCCCGGACCTGGAAGCCCAGCGCTCTGGCAGGAGCAGGGGGAGGGAGGATCACAAGTTTAGCCCAGCATGGGAACTTGAAGACTTGGCAAGATCTGTCTCCAAATAAAAAGCAGGGCTGGGGATGCCGCTCAGTGCAAAGGCCCTAGCTACAATCCTCAGTGCCACAAAAAACAAAAACAAAAACAAAATGGAGTATTCATCCGACAAATAGAAAGAAAAAATTAGGGAATTCTTACAGATTAAAAGAATCTAAAGAGACATGAAAACCACTTTGGGGTAAAATGGAGAAATGTGAATCCAGAAGGTAGTAAATTACATTAGTGAATATAATTAGTAAGTTTCTGTATATGAATAATGACATTGTGGCTATTTATTTTCATACATTTCAAAAAAATGTAAGCTAAAGAATTTTAGGGACAAGGTGCTACATGATGTTGGCATTTTATTTTCAAAGCACACAGAAAAAAAAATAGACGTGGAGAAAAAACACATTATTAAATCCAGGAAGCAGGAACATGGGTATTTATTTGAAGGCAGTGATAAAAGTTGCTTTTCAAAGTGCAGTCAGTGTAATACAGGATTTCCAGAAGAATCTATCTCAGTAGTGTTTCCTGAAAAATGAAAACAGTAACTAAGCAAAATGTGTTCATTTAATAGCACAGGTGGTGTTAAGAGTAAGTGCATGCTAGACCTTTTATATACTGGAATGATACTTTTAAAATATATTGAATACAATTTTACTGCTTTTTCAAGACTCTTAAGCTCACATCTTATCAATGGTGGTTTGATTAATCACAAAGCTTTCATAAGCATAATTTCCATGGTTAGTGGGGTTCATAATGTGTAATCAGGTGCCTCGCACAGTAGTAAGCTGAAAGTAAATCATTAAACCAAGCCTAAGTGTGACACTAATCTGTCTACACAACAAAGCTTGACAACACCACTGGGCACAGCCGCTGTGCTAGTGCGAAGGGTAGGGATCTAACTGGTCAACAGAACACCATCTCCCAAGACTCACTCATCTGAAACAGTAAACCTCGAGTCTACTAGATAGATGTGTGCGGGGCACGGTGGCACACACCTGTGATCCCAGCACTCGGGAGGCTGAGGCAGGAGGATCGCTGTGAGTTCGAGGCCAGCCTGGGCTACATACTGAGTTCAAGGCCACCTGAACTACATAGTGAGACCATGTCTCATAAAAGAAAAAAAGAAAAGAAAGAAGAAGAAAAAGAAAGGCAAAGGCTTCTGAGAACTTAAGACTTTGAACTGCTTCTCCGGTATTCTGAATGATGCCTACTTTTGCTCATGCCAGTAACCCTGGCTCAAAAATCATAAATACCCAGGTTATCATTATCACACTCTTGCCCGTCTCTGAAGTACTAGTCTTAGTTTTTCCAAGCAGTTTTATTTTAAAAATTTTAAAACTTGTAAAAATTTAAAAGGAGCAAAACCTTAATAATCCTAGTAAACCACCAGATTCATGGTGATTTGAGGGATCTGTTCACAGCTCACCAGTACCTTTTCACCATCCTGGGTGTGTTTCGTGGGTGATGTCGGGGTGAAACGGCCGGTTTCATCTTCTACTTCACGCTCTTTGCCAACTAGGAAATCCCGCAGTTGAATCTGGAGGACATACACGTAGTACTAGAGAAAGCTCTATCAGCTACAGAATGCTCTGGTGTGCTGAGCACTGACAGGCGCTGGCAAGCCTTACGCACAGGTGGGATTGATTCTTCCCGAGAGATACCAGCACAACACTGGCAGTCTCAGAAATCCCGCCTTTAACTTGACTGACAGATGATTATATTCCCTGGAGATGAGATTCTTAGGTTCTACTCTTTTGGGACATTTATTTAATTTTTTAAAAAATAAAATTGCATTTAAACTATAATTAAAATTAATTAAATAATAAATTGCAATTAAATAAAGAAGGAAACTATTCTTATATCATCCAAATACAGTAACAATAACACAAGCCCAACAAAACTTTGCACCAAAATATTTCTTTCACGTAATAACTGGCTTCCAGGTAGCTGAATTTTTCATTCTTAACATGATCCCAAAAGCAAAAACATTACCAAATCACTAGAGCTTTTGTTTTTATCCCTGCACATTACTATACAGAATGAAGTCTATAATCTCTACCCTCCCTCGATAACCTTCATCAAGTTACTATAACTGGTAATACTAGTTTAAAGTCAAAGTAAATCTAGCTGAACTTTAATTTGATTAAAATAGAATTGTTTTAGAAGATACTTACAGGAGCTAAAATGTCTTTATTTTCAGAATTAGAAGTCAAAATTCCACATTTTTTATAAACATCAATCAGATCTAGCATATTACTATTCTTCAAGAAATCTTCATAAGTCTTCTTAATGTCCTCATAGTGGTCAGCCAACTCCATATTTTCAACAGATAAGTTCAGTTTCTCGTGCAGGAAGTATTTCCACGTCATCAGGACATCACTGAGAGAGACTTCGAATTCTCCACGGTGCTGAAAGAGATGACGCCCAAGCAACAAAGACAAAAGGAGAAAATTGGGTGCTAGAATATTCATTAGCACATTGAGCTGGGGAACACGAAGAGAAGTTTGCTACAGGAAAGTCTGAGAAATCGATGATTTTATAAAATATGAACAATTAATGAAATTTACATGTGACAAAATTGGCAAATGGTCATTTTCATATAGCCATCGTCTTATTTCTTGAATTGCACTAAATTTCTTCTACCCAGAGAGAAGGGTGGTGGGCAGTGAGGTGCACTTAAATACTACTGACTGGGGAACATTTGCTTCCATTAATGTTTACTTCCTTTTAGCTAATGCATCTTTCATCTTTTATTTAAAAAACTGTCAGTGCCATGAGAACTCCCCACATAACAAAATATTCCAAATGGTGGTCTTAAAACATGGTCATAGAGATTAATTTTTTAAAATTATGTTTCATCGTCATTATATCCAAAGCCAATTGTCAGTACTAAATCCTAGGGCTAGAAAACAATTCTGATTTTCCCTCCCTGTAGACATACTAAGTCAGGTTTCTTTCAGTAAGCTCTTAAGATGTTACTAACTAGACGAAGTTATTCTTTCGCTTTGTCTTTTCACTTCCTATTTTTTCCCCAGAAGAAATAAAATAGACTGCGGTGTGGCTACAGTTTTACAGTTACTCAGAGACCCACTGATGTCACCAACACTTGTGTGTCAACATTTTATCTAACTATAAAGCTTTAAGTGTCTTGTTTTTATTTATTTTTTAGGTTTCTTTTTTAACAGGATACATTCAGTAGACACTTGGTAAAGGTTTGCTTGTTTTTCACTATTGCATTCTTCTCCACATTAATACTCTAGATACTAATAATGGTGACTTCCAAACACTGCCAGCCTTAATTCCGTAAAAAATTCCAACTACTCCTTTCCAATGGAGCATGAGTAACAAATATGCTTACCTGTCTATACGTGCTTTTATGAAATGTCCCATGTGCTGTCTTCTAGTTATGCTTCTTCAGTATACTATTAGTTTCCGGTAACACCAAGATCTTTCCATTAATTGCATTTAAAAATGGGTGGGTAATGGTGTAGAATTCATTACCATAATTCAGTGGAACTAAATTGGAACATCATCTTTACCCAGTGAAGAATAATACAAAGAAATCAACATAACCAAATCACATGCTATTTTCTATATATTTGACCCTTTAGATGTATATATCTTTTGTGATAATCTGCCACATTTGCTATGTACTATTCAAATTTATGACAAGGTGTTCAATCTGTCTTAAAATAATGAGCTCTTTACTTATCCATATGGAGACAACTAAGAAAATTATCCTAATTCTCTGTAGGATGGGAACCTCAGATCATGACTACAAAAATTAACTATAGTCTAGGAAACTAGTTCAATGAATAACCCCCAAAAATCAGTAACTATCAAACTTTGAATCTGTAACTCAAATACTAAGGCAGATTTGTAATTTCCCAGCACTGAATCAAAAACTGGATGTTTTCTTTCCAAATCCCACAAAGGTTACACTCAGAAAATGTCCAAGTGGTATTAAATAAATCCAGTTGTTCGGAGTCTCCAAACTACATTTTTTTATCTCAAAAATTCCTAAGACTGTTTTTAGTATGACATCCTTCCCATTTAAAATAAAGATTCTGCCTAGTGTAAATATACGATTTATTCTCAGTCTGTAGACTATAAGTAGTTAAAGTAAAACTATGCAAGCCCTTGATCCTGTGAGAAAAGGTTTTGACTAGATTAACAGTGTTTATACTGGGATTGTAAAAACATTTTAAATCCAAATAAAAATGTACTCCTGATATCAGTTTTCACGATCAGGTGCCCACTATGACAGCATTTTCTATTATTCAAACCAGTAACGACTGATTGAGAGGGCCTGTGGTCAAATCAGAAAATGTTTTGCTAGGAAAACACGCCAGCTGGCTGATGTATGAAGGAAGTTCAAAATGTTCAATTCTTTAATCCTCAGTTGGACCTAAGAAAGATTGTATTTCGCAAGAATAAAAAGAGAAAAGCATGAGTTACACATTTTTCAGAGCTCTTGGACTTTGTATATAATATCAAAGTTTCTTTATGATAATTCAAATTTTTAAATAACACGTACACTTTACAGTTAGGCTGATTGTTGTCCACAGTAGAGGAAAGATAGAAAGTCTACTGAAGAGCACTGATTGTGTGGCTTTGGTTGGGTAAAACACCAAAACCTCTTAGTTTCCTTGGTCATGCAATGAGATTGTACAGATTAATACCTGATACATTGTAGGTAGAGGTCAAAAATGTTCATTTCCTTTCTCTTCCCCTATTCAAAGACAAACAGTTGCTGGGGGAAGGTTGGTAGATAAGTGTAATAGTTTCAAGAAGCTGTCTCTTCTCAATTGTTTGTCAACCTCAGGTGGTTTTCGAATCCGAGTTTACCCCGGTTGCTGTTGGTTCTTTCCATGCAGTTATGGAAGTGATACATTTGCTCCATCCGGTGGAACATGCTTAACCCTAATTCTCAACCTTTCTCAGTAAGACTATGCAAGGTAGAGAATATTCTGGATAACATCATTGTCAGAATCTGACTATGAAGCTTTTCCCATATAAAGAAAAGACCAAAATATGACTTGCCACCTAATGAAGTCACACGGACTGTCACATGATGAAGTCAGTAGTCCTCAAGAACCCATACTAGACTAACTTTTAGCTGTATAAAGCTGCTACTGAAGGGTTTTTTAATTTTCCACTCAAAAGGCCGGGAGTTTAGCTCAGTGGTTCCAGCGCTTTTGGAACCAGGGATCGAACTCGGGGTCAAGGCGATCCCCGATACCAAAAGCGCCAGAACCACTGAGCTAAATTCCCAGCCCTTCAATGTACTTTTTCTGTTCCTCTACTTAGGAAGTTAAGAAAACAAACACGTCAACTCTAACAACTAACAACTGTACTAGGGATCCCAAGTTTTATTAGTCAAATTCAGACGCAGGACTATATATGCACACACTCAAACTTTAAAGAGTTAGAAACCCAGAGTTCCACCAAAGGGTGCAAAATGAGTAAATGACCCTCTCCCTCTCTCCAGCTCCTGCAGGCCACGTGGACACGGCTGCACCCCTCACTACACTGCACAGAGGGACCGGAGGTCCCACTGCTCCGCCAGCACGCATGAGCACACATCACGACCACACCCCACCCCACCCCACCCCGCAACCCTGCAAAGCCGGTGGAAGCCCACTACCCTCTGCCTTCCCGCCCTCTGCCTTCCGGCCCGGGGCCCGCCCGCAGTGAAAGGCGTGACCTAGCAAGAGGAAGTCTGGCAAGCAGAACGAGGCCTGCAACATAAGCCCCAAATAAAGTCTGACTTAGGTTGACTTGCTCAATATATCAAAATGTTTACAGTGGAAACGCAATTTTTTCAGAGTGTATTTTTCTTCGCTTAATAAAACAGTTCATTGCTTGAAAAGCAATTCACAAACAAAATAGGTGATTTGAAGGCGTTCTGGCTCCAAAACAGCAACTTTCCATCAAGTATGGTATGGGTTCCTAACACCTCAATCTCTTCCCACTTGGTCAATGATCACTGAGGTTGAGCCCTGGGCTGCAATATTCTATTTATACAAAATCCTCAGAATCTTTCTTAGAGTCATCCCTTCAGATTACTAAGGCAAATTAAAAAACAAAAAAACCATCAGGTAGCAAAATTAGCGAGACTTGGATTTGGACTTCGATGGGGAGCAGAGGAAGGAGATGTCGACCCACTGGTGGCCCCCACTGCAGATGAACGAACAGGAAAGCAGTGGGGGCCAGAGGGCGTGCCCCACTTTTAGGAACGACAAGGAGATGGAAATGGGACCCGAAAGAAAAGATGTCTAGAAGTACTTGAGCACACTAGACTCCGACTCAGTAGCAATATAGCAAATACAAATGCTGAGAAAACAAGGGCAGGCAGTGCATCTGGAAGGGGGCGGGTGTACAGTGGCACAGCCTGGAAGCTGTGGAGGGAGGTGGGAACCCGCTACTCTAAGTCCTGCTGCTCTGGCATATTCAAACTGTGGATGGAAAGGACTTGAGAGACAGCAGGTGCAAGATCACTCTGAACTCCTTTCTGTTGCTTACAGGTAGATGAAACCACTGGGTGAAAAATGCCCTGCCTACACCAAAAGGAAGATAACATTCTTATCAAGGAGGGAATGCTGAGGCTGAGGCAGGAGGATCACAGCGAGTTCGAGGCCAGCCTGGACACACAGCGAGACCCTGTCTCAAAAAAAGGAGTTGAGGTCAAGGGAAATCTATTAAAAAACCCTTGATAAACCAACCCTTACCCTCCTATCCTCTCCATCCAATTAACTAACTTTGTCCCAGCACACTTTCATTTGACTACTCTGTCCAATTCAGAACTTAATTATTCTATTCCAACTCATCATTGGGCTTTCATTTCCTTATGAAGGTTCCTGTGCCATGTAAAACTTGTATTAAGTAAATGTGCATGTATTTATTCTACTGATGTTTTACACCAATTTAATTCTCAGGCCTAGTTGAAAAACTCTAGAAAGGTAGATGTAAAATTTTACCTCAATTAAAATATAAAGTATAGAACAAGAGGTGTCTGGAATACACAGAGAACTCTCTCAAAGAATAATAATTAGACAAAAATAACTCAATGGTATAATAGGCAAAGAATATGAACAGAGAATTTCTTCCCTAATATTTTGGAAGTTTGAGAAGGATTGGTCTTAATTTTTCTTTAAATGTTTGGTAGCATTCATCAGTGAAGCCATTAAGTCTGTTGTAGTCAGGGTTCACAAGGGAATAGATTTAATACAGGACACATAACTTACAGGATTATTTTATAATATTCACCCAAAAAGTCAGAGGCAGAGGAGTGCAAGACATCTGTCCATGCCCTAGAGACCCGAAGGATCCAGCTGAGGGCCTGGATCCCACTGAAAAGTCCTGCACAAGTCCAGCCAGAGCCCTGGAGCCCATGGCAGGGTCCCATGCAAGTCCACATCGAGCATCTGCACCGGGAAGGCCCGAAGGCCACTGATGGAAGCCAGAAATCCTGTGCCACCAGCATGAGGAGCCTCATGGTGACGAGCAGAGCTCCCCTGACAAGAACAACAGCCATCCCCGGCAACAAGGAGGACCCAACCTCCTCCAAGGACAAGAGCAGCGGAGTTCGCATCAGGAAAACCAGCTGGAACAAAGCCTCCCAGGAGCATCAACAGCATCGGATCTTCCCCTCCGGTTCTCCTTTTATGCCTTTGGCAGCAATCCTCAGGTGGGTCTTCCACGCCCAGAACCACGCTGACTCGGTTCAGCTGGGCCTTCCAAGCTGACCATATTAGTCCACCTCACAGGTCCTGAGCTCTTCTTTGATGGGAGACTTTCATTACTGACAAAAGCGTCCTGCTGCTGGTCTGCTCAGATATTGTTTTGATTCATTATTGGTAGATTGTATCCAAGAATCCATTTCTTCCAGATTACTGGATCTGTTGGCATAATTGCTTATAGAGTCCCTCACGATCCTTTGTACTTCTGAGAATCAGTTGTAACGTCTCTGCTTTCATTTCTAATTTTATTTACTTGCATCTTCTCTCCTTTATTCCTAGTCTAGCTAAAGGTTTGTCAATCATGTTTATCTTTTTGAAGAACCAACTCTGGGTTCACTGAGCTTGTCTACTGATTTCCTTTACTCTTTCCTTCCTTCTGCTAACTTTGGGCTTACTTTGTTCCTTGTTTCCAGTTCTGTGAGGCATAATGTCACCTGCTTATCTGAGGTTTCTTTTTTGATCTGGCACTTCTCACTATAACCTCCCTTTTCGGAACTGCCTTTGTAGTCTTCCATACACGGTGTGTGTTATATAGTCCCATTTTCATTTGCCTTAAGGTATTTTTTAATGTCCCTTTTAATGTGTTCTTTGACCCATTGGCTTTTCAAGAATCTGTGTTTAAATTTCCATGTGTTTGTAAATTTTCCATAATTCTCCGTCACTGATTTCTAATTGCATACCCTTGTGATCCAAAAAGATACTTGGTAAAATTTCAATTTTCTTAAACATCTTAAGACATTTGTATAGCCTCATACACAAGCTATCCTGAAGAATGTTTCCTGTACACTTAAGAACTGTTCTAAACATTTAAAGAAAGGGGACTGACTGCTTCCAAACTAGATATCTGCACTTCTGTGTTCACTGCACCATGTTCGCAATAGCTAAGATATGGAATCAATGTAGGCGTCCGTCAAGAAAAGAAAATGTGGTATATATTGACAGTGGAATACTATCGGTCTTTAAAGGAAGGAAATACACATGTGAGGACATGGATGAACCTAAAGGGCGTAATGCTAAGAAGCCAGACGAGGGAACAGGAACAATGCACGACCTCACTGTACCAGGGATGTAAAGGGGAACCGACACAGCGTAGCACGGCAGCTCCTGGAGTGGGAGAGGCAAAGCTGAGGAGAGTCGGTCAGAAGCTATAGAAACTCGGTCAGACAGGAAGGCCATGACGAGACACACTACAGAATGGTGACGACTTGATAATGACGTTTTTCTGTTCCTGAAAAGTGTTAGGTTTTAAAAGTTCTTACCACAAAAAATGGTTCAAGTACATGTGGCCATCCATATGTTAATAGCTCTATGTAGCCATTTCATGATGTTTACACCTTTCAAAACATGTTATGCCTGATAAACATGTACAATTTTTGTGAACTAAAAAATAAATTAAAAACAATCAGACTCTTACCTAAGGCCTCCCCATGAAAAGGCTGACGTGGGCTGTGCACCCAAGCAGCCTGGCCCCAGAGCCGCAACGCTGCCTCTTAGCAGCAATACACCCTGTTTTTCCAAGCCAAGAAAGCTACAGATGCCAGCCAGGCTTTTTAATAATTGCACACTACTCCATCAGTGGTATAAGACTGCTACCTAGAAACAACCCACGTGTAATATGCATTTAGAGTGTTTCTTGGTCATTTGTAATTAAAAATGATTCTGCTATTTAAAAAAGAAGAGGATACCTAAATGGTATGGTCAAATACACATTTCTGAAATGTTGAAACACTCTCAGATTATTTTTTTACAATGCCACTTTGTTCTCTTTTCCAGTAAGTTTCACAACATCGAATATGAAGACAGAGGTATGAAAATGGTACTCTCCTACACTGGTGACAAAAATTAAAATTCTAACAGGCATGTGGAAGAAAAAGATGTTCCTGCCACATGACCGCTGAGGGAGGGGCCCTAGAAAAGCTCACCCTCTGCACGAGACATTTCACGTCACGGCCGAACTGTATTTCAAGTCAAAGCAAAACTGACTTTCTGTTTTACTGTGTTGGTGGTACTGAGCTACACTGAGCTGCACCCCGCACCCTTTTAAAGACAGGGTCTCAGTGAGTCAGAGTTGTCCAGGCTGGGCTCTGGGCTTGCAGTCCTCCTGCCTCAGCCTCCCAGAGTGCTGGGATTATAGGTTCAGCTAAGGCAGAACTGTTTTTAACACAAAAAACTTCAAATGACCTAAATATCTTTCGATAGATAAAATGTAGCACTCAAAAAAGGGAACACATACCACTGCTAGGATGAATAAATTAGATCATGTTTTCTAGCAGTACCTGAAGAGGTCTTGAAAACAACGTTAGTGAAAAAAAAAAAAAGAAGAAAAAGAAAAGACGGGGAAAGAACTTACACCATCTGTTATCATTTAAAAATAGACGTGATAGCAGGGCAATCTGGCTAACTCCGTAAGCAGCGAGACCTCTCCTGGTACAGAATCTCTCACCTAAAACTACCAGAGAAAATAGGAAACCATTTTTGAAGCACGACTGGATTGTCCATGAGAGAAAGGAAACTACCAAAGGAGAAAAACATGAGAAAGCCCAGCATGGACGGAGGCACACGGGGCTGTGTCTACTCCAAGGCATCTGCACTCCGGACATGGCAGAACCCACTTTGTACAAACCTGGGCACAAGGCTCCAAGGCAGAGGGAAGCCTGACAGAGATGGGAGACAGGACTGGGGCCTCCCCACCCACCCTGCTGTGCCCAGCCAGGGCTCCTGAAGGCCACCAATCTGCACTTCGTCCACTGGATACACCCGCCTGCCCACCCGGCGGTGAGGAT